ATCCTATATAAGTATGGTATAATCTATTCATGTTTTCAAAATGGTGCGATGACAAATAGCTTTGATTGCAGGCTGGTTTTCTCAGTTTTCCCTCGGCATGGTCAGGCCAACATTTTTCATAAAGAAAAAAAGACAGGTCTCATAGCCTTTTAAAACAATAGTTTAGAAATAACATATACAAAAAAGCCTATTTCAAGAAACGTTATTTGTTTCTATGAATCGAAGACTTACAGCTGGTATGAGCGAAAGATGCAGAAAGAGGTCCACTGAGATATTGTTTTGACAACCATCAACTGTGGAGATACTGGAAGAGCTGCAATAATAATAATAATAAAAAAAGCAAAGTATTGGTTTATAATTGATGTGAAGCTGAACAGATGGGAATAAATCACAAATTAAAACAATGGATCCAAACATAGCTGATCTCAGGCAAGTTAACAAAATATATAAAAAAAAAAAAAAAAAAACATTTGCCAGATTGTTGCTCTTTATTGCTAATTGTTTTTATTTAAACATACATTTTATTTTAAGAGTCTGCTAGCGTCATCTATTTCTTTACATTTTGCTTAAAATTTCAGATTATGTACACTTATATCTTGGCTTGAACTGACAGTATTGTTAATTTTAGCAATATGACTTAGTTAAATATTTAAGTGTTCATGTACTTTTGGTTATTTTGACACTTGTAGTCCAGATTAACTCTCCCACGTGGCCTCACTTTTAGGACTGAGGTTTTGTTAAAAATTTTGACCCAAGGTCGGCAGAAGGGTTAAAAAAAACAGTGACGTAACAAGAACAGACTCAGTATCAGTGGGGAGTTAAATTCCTACAAGATTTTAATTTCAGTTGTTTTTATTGCATAATTGTGAAATTTTGTTAAAAAAAATTGTTTTACTAGAGTGAAAAGTTTTGTGTTTTTTAGTGATTAACATATTTTTCGGACTATATGGCAAACTTAAAATCCTTTAATTTTCTCATAAATTGACAGTGAGCCTTGTCTATTGATTCTGATTGTGTTACTGACCTCAAACTGATTTTATGTGGTTACTGTGAATGAGTTGAATAAAGTTTGACTTATCTGACTGTTTTGTTTCTCTTAATGCGCCTTACAATCCGGTGCGCCTTATAGTCCGAAGAATACGGTAATGTTATTTATCTGGTCTCTTGTAAATGATACTACATGTCTTAATGAGATTACCTGTCCAAACAAAAGTATATCATTAAAAAGTTTATGGTTTGATAGCAAACGTGAAAGCAAGAATAAATTGTGTCCTAAAGGGCCTCTCATACATTTATTTCATGCGCATACACTTACCTGTGTTCAACACCAAGTGAAGCCATTTGGAGATGAATACCTGGATTATTGCTTAAATCTGTGCAGAGCAGTGAAACAACAGATTACTATAGTTTTTTTGTACTTTTTCATTCTTTTTTTTTTTCTCCATTGGACAACTTCAGCACTAATGCTACACTGCACTGATCACAAGGGTTAAATAAAGCAGACCTAAAAAAATGTATGTCTCAATATGCAGATGATCAACTGTTAATGAACGTGTGTCTACTTTTGTAATGTTCATTTGAAAATGTTGTACTTAACTAAAAGCTGACGTAGCAAAGTTCAAGTAAAATGTGCTGGTCTTTACTGTCGCTGAACTGAAAGTCTACTTACGTGTGTTCCTCCGGGTTCCTTATCATCATTGATAAGTCAGCTCATGGAAGATGAGAAATGTTTACGTCTGCTCTTCTGGATGGAGAAAAGGAAGTAGCTGTGGAGTGAAACCTCAACTCAATTTCCTGGTTTCCACCATGTGACATTTTTGACCTTTGCCCACAGGATTTATTGGTTTCTTTCTTTATGTCCTGTTTTCTCTGGAGACATTTTCCCTGTGTGTGTTTCCTCTTCTACCATGCACTAAATGACACTGACCGCTGTGTCACTCAGTGTGAGGCGTGTGTAAACAATGAGCTCACCCACTGAGATAACCAGCAAATCATTCACCTGCTGTTTTCAGCTCACAGAGGAACATTAGTTGGAACTTCACCTAAAACATTAAATCAACTCTCTTTTTAATTATTCTTTTGTTTCTGGTATCAGCGTACCTGAACTCCTGTGTCTGTTTTAAAATGTATTATCCATATAAACCACAGTTACTGGACAGTTTTAAAGAACATATCACAAACACAAACACTGAAATTCAAATTTTATTGCAATGACAGTTTAGGAAAGAGGATGTGACTGTTCCTGATTTGGCCTCTTGGTGAAGTCAGCCATCCAGATCAGCAACTTTTCTCCTTTACGATCAATATGTTCGTCTTGGTTAATCTGAGGAATAAATAAGTTAATATGAAATGAAATGTGTTGTAATAAGAGATTGAGAAATGTGTTAGGAAATAGAAACAAAAGTAATTTTTAGAAAACATTTGCAAGAATTTCCCATTGATAAAATACAGTATTACGCTTTTATTGCCCTTATTTTGAGAACCAAAGTTGTTTTGTGGTAAAATACATTTTTATCATGTGGCAACATGAGGGGTGGTCCATTATGCAATTGCATGTGTGTGTGTGTGTGTGTATGTGTGTGTGTGTGTGTGTGTGGGGGGGGGGGCGGTATTTGTCTGTCTACTAACAAAATAACTCATGAAAAATTCACAGATTTTAACAGAACTCATTTACAACTGATAACTTTTTGGAATCTGATCAGTTTGAGATGGATGCTGTATCTAATTTACCTTAGAAAACACGCAAAAGCTCGAACTCAGTCAGTCTTACAAACACGGAGGTAAAATATGGTAGTATCTGAGAGTCGTTCCCGAAACACACTCTAAGCATGAACAGGTCTTGCAAAATCTTTGGCTGTTAAGTAGTGGTGGTTTCATTTAATAGTGGAATAAGTCCAATTTTTTTTTGAAGCGTTGTTTTGTGGAAAGGCTGAGAAACAATTAGTATTTAACCAGCTTTTTGTACAGTTTAGCGAAATACATTTATTTTGGGCAATTATCTGGTCCAAGCAGAGCTAGGATCAAAGTGAATTTCTGCCATCTTAAAACAGCGAAAAATTCACTTCAATAAAATATACACTTTTTTTTTAAATTTACACCCTATCAGTTTTGTGTAACTTAATAATTTTGGATGGAATACTATATCATATTCTTATTGGAAGTAACCTAGGCCACACCGAAAAGTGCTACAGCTAGCTGCCGCTGCATTTCCGCCCTGCAAATAAAATATTCATACATAAATAACTGTGTAATGCGAAGCTGACTGCAATATAAAGAGTTATAAAACATAATTTACATAAAACTTTTTAAAGATGTTTGGGAGGGGAGTAGAGTTGCATTCGGGCCTAAAAAATCCGACCCGACCCAACCCCAGCTGTAGCCATTTTTTCCAAACCCAACCCGACCCAATCATTTAATTTGTTTAAAATAATAATAATAATATTAATAATAAATTTGTATGCCTCTTTTATGAATGTCTATTGTTGTTGTTGTTGTTATCCACTGTTGTCATCACTCTTTGTTAAAAAATCAGGTCGCTCTTGTAAATGAGTCCCCGAGGCTCAGTGGGATTAACCTGCATAAATAAAGGTTGAATGAATGAAATTTAACTGTAATTACAGGCCTGAACCTGAAAAAAAAAAAATTAAGCTTTTACTGCTTTTGTAAGCAAATCAGTTTGACAAGATATTTCAAAAACGTATTTCAAAGAAAGGAAGATATAAGATTTCTTGTTTCACCAAATAGATAAATATAGGCTATTACACAGATGAACAAAAATATTTGGAAAAATATAGAACAAGACTATATTTATTGAACTCGCTGCTCGCTTCGACTTGATGCTGCAACGTCCTTCACCGCCGATTACAGCAGGGTGCGGAGACGCACGCGGCTGGTGATCCATTTGAAGCTTAACTGGACCTTTTTTTAACCTCTTTTAACCGGACAGTCAGTGGACGCACACGGTTGATGATCTCGTTGTCCATCTGAACTTAACAGGACTTCTTTTTTTTTTTTAACCTCTTTCAACAGGACAGTTGGACCTGCATCCTCCTCAACAAGTAGATTAACACAATTTTATATTGTGCATTCTGATTTAGTTTTCTTTGTGCTGTATGATACGTAAAACCATATCAAGAGACCGACCCGGCCCGCACATCAAGCACATTATTTTGGCCAGGCCCGACCTGAAATTCGGACCGGGCCCAGTTTAGAAATCGCAGGGGAGTTGAGGGGAGTTATTTTTGAGAGCAGCAGTAACCTTAGCCGTTAGCTTGGCTGTTTGATCAAAATTTAATTCTTCAAATTGAGGCTGTTAAAACAGTAGCATACAACAAATAATGTGTTAATTGTTCCACAAAACCCTTCTTCAAATGATTTTAACTGCTACTTGAAGGTTTCGTAAGTACCTTTCTTGTTTTTAAAGAAGAAAATAGAACAGCCAACAGACTATACCTTATGTCACCACCAGGGGGCGACAAAGTCACCCTTCATTTTCTGTCCATTAGAGCAGGGGTGGGCAATTATTTTTTTCCATGGGGCCACATGAGAAACAACAAATATTGTGGAGGGCTGGCACAAATGACTTTTTCATTCAACCTTTATTTAGACAGGTAAATCCCATTGAGCCTCGAGGACTCATTTACAAGAGAGACCTGATTTCAACTTAACTCAATACTGCATAATATTAATAGTATTTCATTATTAAAAGCAGTACATAGCACTGTTTTAACAAGCTGGTAAGAGTATTTGTTATGATTAAGCAACGAAAAAGCGAGGTTTCCTTAAAAAAATGTAATTTATTCAATTAAATTTCCCAGTACAATGATAAACTGTTAACATTTTTACCATTTGTGACGTTATATTAATGATCATTTTCAGTCACATTCACCCCAAAACTCATTTTGAGTTTTATATACTGCTGGAAAAAATTATTAGCTTTCTAAATATATCACAATATTGTCTTTGTACTCCAAATATTATGAAACATCATATAATAGTGATCGTCACTGAACTGTGATTTCGAGTCCCGGTTCTTTACGTGCCTACATTTGTAGTCTAAACATCTCATTTGGTGTTTATCAGTTCTTTTTTCTTGTTTAGTGAGAGAAGTCTAGTCTCTGTTGGGCTTTAACGGAAATGTTAAAGTCAGGTTGAAGGTCTGAGGTGGAGATGTGAAGCAAAGCTGACATCATCAGTGATAGAGGATCTATATCTGGATTAACTTCATTTGTTTACATATGTATTTTGTAATTCCCCTTACGGGGGCCGGTCAGAGTCAACCAAAGGGCCGCATGTGGCCCTGGGACCGTACAATGCCCAGGTATTAGAGAGTGTGTGTGTGTGTGTGTGTTTGTGTGTGTGTGTGTGTGTGGACTCACTGTCTTTCGACACAGAGAGTACACTCGTTGGCGTAAGTGTTTCCATCGCTGCCGCACACAGGAGCGAGGTTCAGGGGGCACGCCACAATCTCCATGTCAGGACAAGAGGGCTGCCAGAAATGGAAATGTTTCCAAGAGATATAATCAATCTCTCAGCCTAAGTCTGAAATTTAAAGTTCCACCAATATAGATTGTTTTTCACATGCATCAGGCATTTCACAAACACACACAGAACAGTTTGATAAGAAAAAAGTCACCTCTCTCATGAGTCCAGCATTCTTTGCTTCATCTTAAAAATAGAAAAAAAGACACCTTTTTAATCTAAATATATTCAATCCAAATAGTCAGTTCATTTAAAAAGTCTATCATTAGCTTCCACACGGATTCAAATGATCACTTGTTTTGATGTTACTGTTTATAATGGTTTCTAAAACTGACTTTTTTGTCAATTCAATTCAGACTACACAATATTAAAAGTATCTACACAACTTTTAGTTTTATGACAAAGCGTTGCCTTTTATTTACCTGCAGTGACACAGATGAGCAGAAGTCCCAGCAGAATATACCTCGCGCTCATGATGTTGGTGGATGAATAACACATGCATGGGAGTAAGCCTGTTTTTACTGGTTGTTTAATTGTTTGTGCGTGTGCGTGGGAACATGGCAGATGAAACCAGACACACAGCTGCTTGAACACTCTGGAAACACATTGAACGCATTACAAACGTACAGTAAAGATATCTGCTGTTGGCCAGGAGCTTTAAACATCCGCATGACAAGCTCACACTTTACTGCCTCTAAACTGAAGTACTACAGAATAATATTAATAATAAAATAATGCATATCACCCAGATGCCAGAGTTTTATTAAGCTCAATAATCCATACTGGACACTTTATTTAGTTAAGAGTTTCGTGAACCTGTGGAAGGTGTGTCTTCTTTTGTCTTATCTTTGTTCAAAGGTGAATTTGGAGAATGTGAATATGCCCCGAACACTAAAAGATTTCCATGTAAAGAAATGGTTTTACTGCAAGTTTTGATAGTTGATCAGAAAATCTTTTTGGGGCACAGCAGATCCATCCTGGGACACATGTTTCCAGTAAAATGGCTCTGGTTATGCCTTTGGTTCTGGAGGCAGCTGCACAGCTGTCTTGTCTTACGTGAACGTCGTATTAATTTTTCCCTCCGTCTGGCTTGTCTCCTATCGACAAACACCTGAGCGTCAAAGCAGCCCCACCTTTGACAACACGTGGCGTTTACGGGTTTTACTTTTAACAAGGACCAATTTCACGTCTTCGTTTTTGTAACTATTTTATAACAAACTTGATTGAGAATCTAAGCATTTAAAGAATATGTTCTTGAAATAAAGGACAGAGGAAAAAGAGGAAACACAAAACAATATAAACATGATTATGAACAAGTGGTGGCCTGTCACGATCAGCAAAGCTTTTCCTGCTATCCTAATCACAATCAGAATCACTAACTTTTAGATTTTTAATAATGTTGTTGAAGCATTGGATGCTAAGGTCTACTGTGCTGCGCTTTATTTAGACCTGTCTAAAGCTTTTGATACAGTAAACCATGACATCTTATGCCATAAGCTCTCAGACGTTCGTTTCTCAGACCACGCTATTGGCTGGTTTTCTAATTACCTCTCAGATCGGAGACAATGTGTTCAACATAACGGTACTTCTTCCAGCTACCTAACTTTTAACATTGGTGTACCACAAGGCTCAGTCTTAGGACTCACCCTCTTCACAATCACGTTCTGTTAACATTGGTGTACCACAAGGCTCAGTCTTAGGAACCACCCTCTTCACAACTGCGATCTGTTAACATTGGTGTACCACAGGGCTCAGTCTTAGGACCCACCCTCTTCACAATCTACACAACTAATGTAGGCCAGATCATTCCTGATGCATCCTTACATCCTTACCTATGGATGTGGTGCAGCTGTGGATGCAGTTGAAGGAAACTTGTTGAATTGTGTTAATTGGGTTTCTGGCTTCAGTAATGGCATTCATTCATTCTCGCCACGTGAGATACCTGTCTGAGCAGCACCATATTATCCTTTGTTTCTCTGTATTATTGAAGGATTCTGTAGCTGTGGTTTTAAAAGTTGGATAAATTCAGGCAGGACACCAAGGTGCAAAACGCACGGCTCACCACTGGTATGAATCAATTAAGTAAAGAGTCTTTTGTTTACAAGAATTTTGTTAAATTATAATTTGTTTTAACTGCCTTTTTAATTTCAAGGTTTTTCACTGTGACATTTCTTGACAGAAATGGTTAATGTTTAGTTTGGAGTTTGCCCATCTTCTTTTTATGGTCAAACTCTGCACACCTTGTAAAACACACTCACCAACATACAGTAAACATACAGCTGAAACCTGACGGCTGATGGGCTAGGTGATTACATTGGAGTTAACTGAATATATTTTGAGGTACACCTTAAACCCACTTCTTCTTAGTGTGAAATAATGTGAAAATCAAAAGAAATCCTTCTAAAATTTTCAATTATTCATTTAGGGTGCAGGTGCACTTTAACCCTAAGCTCTCATTGAGGGTACAAGGGGGCTGGAAAACCCATCAAGGAGAATAATCAATAATCTATAGACTATTTTTTATTTCTTTACTATTATTGTTTACTTAATTTCAACAACTGGAGACTGGACTCATTCAACTACAGGGAATGTTTGGTTTTTAAATTCAGTCCAGTTTAAGTCACAACAGAAGACGTCTCAGGGCTCTGCACAGAAACATTCATATATAAAATTATTTAACATTATTTATCTGAGGAACAGGCTGCTTTGAATTTAACTCCATCACAGAACTCTCATCTTGAGCAAACATGAAGGCGACGGTGGAAAGAAAAAAACTCCCTCATGATGAAGAAACCTTTAGCAGAACCAGGCTCAGGACAAGCGTCCACCTGCTTCGACTGGCTGGGTTTGAGAGGAATAGGAAGGAAGAACAGATACACAATGGCAGGTCGAGAATCACATGTTAAGCTAGAAATAATAATAAATGAAAACTATTCAATTGTAACAATTCATTTTAAGATGTGAGCTCCATTTGTACTCCAGTAAGCCTATGGCAGCATAACAATCCAACCCTAACTATAGGATTTATCAAAAAGTAAAGTTTTAAGCTCAGTCTTAAAACTGAACAATGTGTCAGCCTCATGGACAGAAACTGGAAGTTGGTTCCACAAGAGAGGAGTCTGATAACAAAGAGCTTCCTCCCGTTCTGCTTTTGGAAACTCTAGGAACTGTACGCCTGTAGTCTGAGAGTGAAGCGCTCTGTTAGGAAAATATGGAACAATAAGATCTCAAATATAATATGGAGCTAGGTTGTTGAGGGCTTTGTAGGCTAGAAGTAGGTTTTTTAATTCAATTCCAAGTTTGATATGATTAAAGCAATGGGTTTTGTCTCTACTGTTTTATCAAAAAAAAAAAAAAGTAATATAAATCAACAATGAAGGAATTATGCCAGATTATTATTACCAGTAATTTAAAATTATGTTGAGAAACCTTTTACAGTCAAACCTTAAAGATAACATTTCACTCAGACCAATTATGAGATCTCACACTCGAGTGCATGTTCTTAATGACAGCTACTTCCACATCAGTATTTTGGCTCAATATTTGTTTTCAGCTTTTGCCATTTTTGTGTTGGCTAAAAAGTGGATTAGCTGTGACGGACATCTTGATCTGGACTGAAAAAGCATTTTAGTTGTAGAGGCGCATCTAATATTTACTTTCCAAAAATTTAATTAACATCGCTTCAGTTGCTCGCGAGAAATTTCGGACACACAAACACGTACAGTCAAGTCTTTTTTCTTTTTCTTTTCTCAAAACATTTGAATTTTTAATAATGTAAAGAATAACTATGCACAATGGGTAACAGACTCAAACAGTTGTAATACTCAAAAATGTAAACAAACAATATAATCGAGAACAAGAAGAGAAAAATCACCACCCGAACGCTGTTCTCTCCTCGTGCCCCTCTGCCTTTCAATACTTCACCAAATCACGTTTCTCTTACTCGCAAATGATTTTGCTCCTGTTTTTCAAGTTTCTAGCAAAAATCGTCCTGCAGTGGTATAAGCTTGAATGCTTCTCGTGTTTGTCCAGTGCAGAGATCTTTTAACTTACTTTAATTTGCAAACCCCTACATCTAAATGCTGGAAACTAAAGGCTGCTAAGCCTGTAAAGTGCTCAATTTGAAAAAAATAAAAGACACAAAAAAAGGGGTTGTGGAGGGCGACAATCAAATCCTCTGTAGGTGGAAGGAAGATCCCAGAGATAATGCAAACCCCTTAGAAGATTTTGCACGAGAGAGAGCACCTGTAATGACGATCCGTCGTCTGTTTCAACCCTGGATATGATTGTTTCCCCTTTTTCTTTTGGACTATAAAGTATTCAAGCACAGTTTAATTAACTCTTGTTCAGACTGGCTTATTCATCTCAAAAGTCGACCTGCAGTTTACAGGCAAAGATTCGATTTTGGCAGCGTCTCCACAGTCTAGAATGAACTCGCAGTCGAATGAGAGTGCACTTTTACCGTATGAGCCTTTTTTTTTTTTTTGAGAACTGAGCTGATGGATGAATCAAAGGACGAGTTGAACTTTATAAAAACACTCGTCTGCTCAGGATCGTGCTGGTTAATCAGAGCTCAGCTCAGTTTGGCACATACACTGTTAGTTCACCCCACTGGTCGCTAAAATGCTACTGTAAAGAACATCCATCTTGGTACTGGTTCAGGTTTGACGTACTCCCTCTTGGCCCTCATAACGGCCACGTTCCAAAACCACAATTTGATTTTAGACTCGAAATGTGCCAGAAAATCCCAAGACTAATACAGCAGAGCTCTGTCCTTCATCTGCAAACACACACCTATAGCATGCTTTGGCTCACACACACATAAAAGCACTGATAGTCCACCGTGTGTAGCCAAGTGGGATGCATGCAGTATACTTTCATGGTACATCCAAAATCTAAATTCTAAAGAAATCTTCAACCCACGCTTGTTCGTTCTGATCAGTCTTCATTCAAAAAGGGCAGTATGGGTAAAACCAGTAAAAGCAGAACGAACATCTAAGAACCACAATATTTTCACGTTTGTTTGGAGCCTGACACTGAACGAGACAAAAACAAGTTTCTTCACAAATAAAATAACAGAATATTAAAATATGTGCTTTGATGCATGCCGGTATTGGTCTCATACATTCCTTGGCAGCCTACGTACATTGTTGTTTTTAATGGAGTGCTCAGATTCGATTCTCCACCGGTATTAGGCACTGTGCTGGACAAATGTTAAGGACACCAAGAACGACGACGACCAGAAAGAACAACTTGGTTAGCAGTCTGCGCTATTATACAAAAAAACAAGAGAACAACTTAAATATGTTTGCCTAAAAGAATCATCAGATTAGTAAAAAAATTAACATAATGATTGCACATTTGTGACAGAAACAGGATTTTAAATGGTTGAGTTTTGTCGTGTCTTTTCTTTGAACCATCGCGTTATAAAAACTTGGTAACAAATAGAAACTGAGCGGTTCGACCCTCAATAAAAACGACGTCAGTCCATCTTTTAACAGCTGGCAGTGAAGGGTTAACGTCACACACTCTACAGAGTAGCATGTACACAGTCTACTACTGCGACTACTTTGAGGAATGGGGATGAAATTGATATTTCCTTCTACTCCCCCCCACGTGTAACGTCCATAAGTGGGTAACCAGACCTTCCAGAGGAATTCAAATCCTGCTGTCACTTCAAGCGTCTTCTTTCTTCCAGTCCACCTCGTGAAGGAGAAGCACCAGTCTCCAGCCCTCACATTACTAGCATCTAACCTTACATATATTTATATATTTATATTTCTTGCATTGATTTGCATTGAGTTTCAGTGTCTGTCATGATACCCGCAGCGGTTGCCTTGGCAAGAGGCTGTGCGATGAGGTGCAGGTCCACTGAGAAGGACAATTAAAAAAAGACTAAAAAAATAGAAATTAAAAAAACGAACACAGTTTGCCTCCTCCCCCACAAGTTAGTGGTCCATGTTTTGAAATATGAGGCGAGTGGGTGAAGCGTAACAACTCCCACTGATCTTGTGCAGTCAGACACAGCTCTCCCTCGTCTTGCTGTCCACGAGGAAAGAGTTTAGCTGGGAAAGGTCCACCACGACGGCTTCTCGCTTACTCATGTGGACGTCTTTCAAGTGGTCCTCGTCGCTTTGGTCCTTGGCGAAATTGACGAACACCTGAGCACAAAAAGTAAACAGATTAGAAGTTGCTTCGAGTTATTTCGGCTCCCTTAGTGAATTAGAACATCAGTGGTTCTGTGTTGGATCATTGAACTATCCTAACATCAACTCATTAAATAAATAAGCCACGCAAGGAAAACCAGAAGATCTCGTCAACCCAGGTTTAACCTTGCAACAGGAGCAGCGTTGAAAAACCAGCATTCAAGATGTTAGATGGTGCTACGTCTCCAAGGTCTGCTTGCGGACCGCATAAAGGAGCATCAACTTATAACGCTTATCAGAAAAGACGAGGTCAAGACAACTCTGCTTTCCAGCTTAGGGGCCTTTAAAGTTTATCAGGTGTGCTCCGTGCCCCTGCAGGCTCCACTCCGCTCAGACAAAACAACTCCACCTCACACACATGGTTCCATACCACTTGGCATTAGTAAGTGGAAAAACATCCATGACCTTTACATCCCCCATCATGCTGCTTACTTGGTCCAAAGTGGTCTGAGAGACGGAGTAGTCCTCTATGCTGAGGGCCTCCTTGTTCTTAGACAGCAGGGAGAAGATGCGGGCGAGGGAGGTGAGAGACGAGGAAAGCTGGTACTGCAGCATGTTGCGGTGCCTCTCCTTTAACGTGCTCCTGGGCAGCTCCCGCTCGATGAACTCCATCACCGGCTGGAGGTCTGGGTCCGGCCCCGCCACCCGCAAGATGATGGTGTAACCGTCACCAAACCTGATGTGAAAAATAATATACATTATCATGTAGCTAAAATATATTTCAGATCTTTTACATGCATAGACTAAGTGTAGGACTGCGTCAGGTCCTCTGGATGGATTCTTCTTTGTTGATTTGATGTTTCTCTACCAGGATTAAATAGCATCAGGATATTTTGTTGATAGTGATGCATATTTTTTCCTCTATACAGAATTATAGAGGATTGACTTCTTAATTATCTAGAACAGTGGTTTGCGACATTTACAGTCAAAGGAGCCATTTCTGGCCCTTCGTTCACTAAACTAAACGTGTCCGGAGCCACAAAATCTGCTGCCACTGTGATTTTCAGCTGCTGACCTGAGGACCACTTAGGGGGCTTTTCAGGTCAGTTGGGGCGACATTATAAAACTTAAAATATTCAATGATTTTCAACACTTATTAATATTTTGACATTTTATGAACAAAGAAAACACCAGGTTATTGTGAAGAAACAATATAGTCGAATTTTTCCCAATTATTTATAAAAATAAATAAAGACATAAATAAAAATGGACTACGAGGCTCATGTGATTCTTCTAAACAGCAGAAAAATCAAGTATCCAACTTTTTTTTAAAGCATAGCATTAAAGCGATTATGTTTTACTCATTGTTTCAAAATAATACTAATTATTAATATAGTAAAACTGCTCAAACTAGCCCTTTTTTGTTGTTTGTATAACAACCAATGACATTTTGTTTTATGCTAGTTTTTATCAAAGCTTGAAACACTTATTATTATTATAATAATATTTTGCGTGTGTGTGGGGGGGCTGGTGGTGTGAGGAGTGTTTACCTGTTCTTGAGGTGTTGCACACTGCCCAGACAGCGGAACCTGCCGTTGACCATTATGGCCATTCTGGTGCAGAGTGCTTCACATTCCTCCATGCTGCAAAAACAAACAAATCATGTCAGGAAACACTTATTCAGGATAGAGAACAACATGGATACAGTGAATCCATTAGGTTTGTTGATACCCATATGAAGGTATATGCCTTGTCTAACCTGTGAGAAGTCAACACTACAGATCGTCCCTCCTTGATGATGCTCAAGATGGCATTCCAGAGGGCGCGGCGAGCCTTAGGGTCCATGCCTGTTGTCGGTTCGTCCTGTTAACCAGCAAAAACCGAAACTCAGCAGCTGCTTAAATATACTGACAAGTCATGAGGTTTATTTTATTTTTTCACACTGACCAGAAATACAACAGGAGGTCCTCCTATGAGAGCAATGGCGGTGGAAAGCTTCCTCATGTTTCCTCCACTGTAGCTGCCAGCTGCCTTGTCCACGTATTTGACCAGACCCAGTTTCTTGATGCCCCACTCTGCCACCTAGTGGTGAAATGTTTTATTTGAGTGAGCGTTTTTCCTAGTCTTTTTTATGTTTGTTAAAACATTCCAAGTTTAATTTTGATGATTTCTAGATAAGCTGACCTCACAGACTTCCTTCTCAGGTACTCCTCTCAGGATAGCATAAAACTCGAGGTGTTCTCTTCCAGTCAATAGGTCATTGATGGCATCAAACTGAGGGCAGTAGCCCATGTTCTGATGCACCTCATCCATCTCTGTAGTTACACTGAAAAATGAAAAAACACAGGAAGACGAATTTATATTTTTACAGAGTTAAAATGATTTATTTTAAGCCTCAAATGTTTTGCATTAATTTCAATGTTTACAGTAAATTAAGTAAAATCTTGTCTCTCACCTCTTGCTGGCTAAATACGCCTCCCCGCTGGTGACGACAGAGTCTCCGGTGAGCATTTTAAAGGTGCTGGTTTTCCCTGCTCCATTTACTCCCAGCAAACCAAAACACTACAGAAAATATACATATTTTAATCTGAGCCAGCCATTTTAAAATGAAAAGAGACTTGTGTAATGTGTAGAAAATGTGTTTACCTCTCCAGGAGGGATGCCAACACACAGCCGGTCCACTGCTGGCTTCTGTTTCCGCTTGTAAATCTTGGTGAGTTCTCTGAGCTCCAGAATGTCAGACTGTCCTCCGCCGCTCAGGATCCTTTGTCGCTCTCTGGCCACATCCTCATCTTCTTCTCCGATAGGCTTCAGATGGCTGGTGGATGACCTGGAGGGTTACAAAGAAGAGACGTCAAGTTCCAAATAAAAATGTTTTCCCAAAATTCTATTATAAATTAACTGAGTTGTGAGGCTGGTCAAAAGATGATGTCATTAAAGATAATTAATCACATATTTCACCAACCTGGCCTTGAAGCAGAAGCGGTACTGAATGAGGACGGTGATAAAGAAGAAGATGACACCTTCTATGGCCATCGCAAACAGGTTCTTCCCCACCATGTCCCAGGCCAGGGGAGAGCGGAACCGGTTTTCACCTACAACAGGACAGAAGTTTCATCTCTTTAATGCTTCTCCTTTGTTTAACAAGATCTCTGTTTTTCTGCTTTGTCAAAATCATTGGCAGGGAAAAATAAAAAAAGAGATTTAGTTACCAAATCTCTCTAAAGCATCAGCCATGGCCTGATTCTTCACCATGTCAATCAGTCCTCTACCCAGGCAGAAGTGAGGAAAAATGAGGAACACGTTCTTCAAGATGTCATTAATGCCACCAATCTCCTGAAAATGGAACAAAACGATTATTTAGCCACATAAACTGGAACATTTAGCCTAATAAAAAAAAAAGCACAATCTGCTGCATCTAATATTTACTTACGTTGCTTCCAAACAACTCCAGGACAAATGTGGACACACTGCCGTTGATCCCTATCAGTATGTTGACGCTCGTCAGAACCACATAGGCAGTGCTTGGGATCTTAAAGAAGAAGGAGGCTGGGTACATCAGAGGGGTGATGGACCATCTGCGAAAGGTCCAAAAGTTATTTTAGATGCAAGTTTGTTGGAGGAACAAACAAGTGAAGAGCAATATTATATAGAACATTAGCCTAAATTACCCGTAGAGCAGCAGCAGCAGGGCCAGCACTGGCAGATTGGTGGAGGACACATAGGCTTCTTGTTGGAAACATACAAATATGATGATCACCAAAGTGGCTGGAACAATGTAGTTACACTGAAACAGGAGGAGGAAAATAATTTAAATATATTGTCCCACGATTGTTTTTCAAGATAACTTGTTTGATTTTGACACATCTTACCATATCCCAGACAAAGTTTGCCAGCCAGTAGAGGAAAGGCTGCACTCCACTGATGAACTGCATATGTTTGGCCTTCGTCACTCTCTCCTGGATGAGGAAAACCACAAAACTGGCAGGGACAAAAGACATGGCGAAGATCACGCAAATGGACACCAAAACGTCCACGGATGTTGTCATCCTGAAAGAAAAACATTAAGAATGAGTCGGGATGTGCATGACAGGTAAACAAATGAGATTTAAATCACCTGTAATACTCACAAAGCAACCTGCGACAGCTGCTCCTTGGTCAGGTTCAGCGGGTGATTGTAGGCAGTGATGCCAAACTTTGTGGGGTCTTTTCCAGGCGGCAGACTCGCCCGCAGGACAGCGTTGTTCATCACATTAAGGAAAGAACCAATGCTGTGCCAGCCCTTATTGTTAAACCAGATCTGGAGGTATGAAAGAAATATGAGCTTTTAAATATTTTAACACCACAGGAGCAACTTGGAGGTAGACTGCTCAGTCTTTAAGGTAATGTGTATTTAGCATCAAAAATGGTAAACCAAATAACTATTTTTTTTTTATTGCTTCAATAAGTTATTTGTCTTTCAACAGTTTAGATTTTCTCAGTTTTTAGTTTGTGTCTGGGAACTGAGGTGGTGTCAGTTCATCAAACACATAAAATTTACAAACTAAGGCGTTGAAAATAAAAAATATACAGTTTTGTTACTGAACTGAATCCTGTAACAAGTTGCTTCAAATGTAAATAAATAAAACTGCATGAACAGGAAGACAAGAGGCGTGGAGTTGAAGTTGTGCTGTCATAAAGAGCTGACGTATTCTACAGAACTGAGTTCGGCCTGCATCCATGTGAGAGAGTGCTAACCTTGACGTTATTTTTGGTGTCCAGTCCTTGGATAAAACTGGCCAGACTGCGGAAGAAACGATCAGCTGCAGTTCCCTGGAGGGTGGAGGAGGCAGAAAGAGAAGGAGACAAGGAGAACAAAAAGAATAAGAAGAGGGAGACTTCTTAAGAGCAACCTGAACCATGGCTAACCTGAAACTAATCAGACTTAGATTTCAAGTGTAGATTTACTCCAGCTGTAATTATAAACCAGTTACAGAGTTCCTGTGTGTCCTAAAACCTGATTAACTTGTAGGCAGTTTTTCTGTGTGCAAATGGCTACTACAGACCAAATAAATGATGTGCTATATTAATAATAGCTAGATACATTGCATTTCCTGCAAAAATGGAGTGTGAATGCGTATTGCAGAAGAATTTGCTGAAAAACAGCTGGAATAAGTTAAAAACATGCTGAAATGTAGCTAAAATGAAATAAAAAGCCTAAATTAGCAGAAAAAAAATCAGAAAGAACACATATTTGCTGAATTTGGTTTAATTTAGAAGAAATTAGAACAAAAATTGGGAAATTAGCTAAAAAAGCTGAAATTAACAACAACAACAACAAGCCGAAACGTAGTTGAAACGGCAGAAAGAAGCTTAAACTATCAGAAGGAAGCAGAAAGAGCTGTAATGAGCTTAAAAAAAGTGGAATTAGCTTTAGAAAGCTAAATTTAGCATAAAAGCAGCTAAAATTTAGCTTAAATGGCAGAAAAAATGAAACTAGCAGAAAAAAACTGAAAGGAGCATAACAAGCTGCAATCAGCATAAAGAAGTTAATTAGGCTGAAAGTAGCAGAAATGACCTCGAAGAATTTCAGTGTATGTAAAAACAGCTGAAATTAGCTAAAAAAAATAAAAAAAATGGTAGCTGAAAAGGTAAAACAAGCCTAAATTAGCAAAAGAAAAAAAACACGTGTTTGACCATTCAGGCTGAAAGAAGCAGAAATGAGCAGAAAAGGTGGAATATATCTGAAAAAAGCCAAAATGAGCAAAAACAGCTGAAAAGAAGCTAAAAAAGCAGAAAAAAGCTTAAATTACCAGAAGGAAGTGGAGAGAACACATTTTTGCAGAATAGGCTAAAAAACATTTAAATGAGTGCAAAAAATGTGGAATTAACTGAAAATGCTAAAATTAGCATAAAACAGCTAAATAGTAGCTGAAATAGTAGAAAAAGCTGAAACTTGAAGAAATGAACAGAAAGGAGTGTAACAAGCTGAATTTAGTAGAAAGAAGTTAGAAGAAGCCCAAAAATGTTGTAGTTAGCAGAAAGAATCTGAAAGAAGCGCAAAACTGCTGAAAAAATCCCATTTGAAATTAGCTTAAAGTAGCTGAAGCAGAACAAAATGTGAAAGGAGCAGTAAAAGCTTGTAAACAGATCTTCAGATTGTATGGATGTAAAATGAGCTCAATTCATTTCCTATGAGGAAAACAATAGGCCGAAAAGGCTAAATATTTCAAAAAGCTAAAGTTGCACCAATACCAAAAGTCATAGCAGGACTGTCCTGAAAGAGCTGAACATTTTTATATGATTTGTTGAAATAGCACAGAAATTGTGTAACGAGAAAGATGCCAAAAAACGTACAGAAGAAAAATGGATAACAATAGAGTGAATGCTTCATAAACATTCACACAATAATAATGTGATAAAATCTCTTACTCTTTCGAGGTGAAAGCGTCTCCTCAGCTGCACGATCGCTACATCAATTTCTTCTTTTTGGGGCAGAATCTGAGGATTTCTGGCACCCAGTGAAAATCCACCATATCTGTTAGACAGAAGGACAGTTTTATCTCAGAGAAGGCCACAGCAAAAGAGCTCTCGGATCAATATTCATATAGAAATGATGCTCTGTGTCGTCTAACGTACCTGAACTCATTGACCCAAATCTTGTTCTTCAGACTGCAAGAGATGCACCGTGTTATTAAACGATAAAGTACTAGGAGTTGAAATGTGTGCTCACAAATAGTAATAGTAAGGCGTTACCTCTTGCCAATGATCTGAGCGTAGGTTTTGACCAGATAATCGGACACATTTCTGCCAGTCAGATTCTGCAGTGTGTCTTTGTCACTGACCTTCATCTAGATACAAAAAACAGTAAACAGTTAAATAATGAGTGCTTGACATTGCTTGGGTTTGGGTTTAGATCCTGTTTTGTCACACTGACCTGTGGGGGTGGAAGGCCACCGGCCCCGGCGGGACACTCGGGCAGCATCCTTTTTTGTTTTCCGCAGCTACACTCACAAAGCGGAGACGGGTTCTCCATGGTCCAGTTGCCTTTGTCAAAAATGTCCCTTACACTTTGAGGGACTTGAGGAATCGCCCACTCATCTTCAACAGCAGTGCACGGAGTGTCACTGGAGCACAGAAACACATTTACATTTCTAATTTAAAAAAAAATAAATTCTGAAATGCTTTTTTGGGTACTTTTCCCTCATTATACTCACGGTACGGGCTCGTCTTCCATGCAATGTGTTCCAAACCCTGGTTTTTCTATCAGAGCATGCTGTAGCTTGTTGGTGTGAGAGTCCTCAGGAATATCATTACTGGAAAGACAAAAACAATTCATTTAGTAATATGTGGCACTTATTGAACTGCCTAGAATAAGAAAATTGTAAAATATTCACTTTAAAAATTAGGTGTAGCTAAGAATTAATAAAGGCTTCACATACAATAGTCCCTTGATACTTCACGGTTCAACTTTGGCGGGTTTTCAATGTAAGATTGTACATGACACACGATTGGCTGATTGGTGGAAGGAGACCAACCAGAGCATTGTGCTGGGGGGTGGACTGACCATCCAGGTAACCTGGCCTGCTCAGTGCTTGTAGAGGGGCCCACTCCTTTCTCTTTCTGAGGCTGTCTGTCACAACAGAAAAGAGACACACAACAGGCGGACGGATGTGCAACCTGTTGTGTGTCTCTGCTTTGCTCTGACAGACAGCCTCAGAAAGAGAAAGGAGGGGGCAGGTGGGGTCTGTCTTTCCCCATCGCTACTGTGGAAGCTTCAGTGAGGTGGACACCTGAGTGAGCGGCATGGATTGTTTATTCAAAATAAGCAAGTGCAACCCGAACCGAGCCTTTAGTCCAGTCCCTCTGCAATCAATGAGCGGGCCAGGCCACCGGGAAATGTCCCGGTGCTCCTGATGGCCAGTCCGCCCCCAGATTGGCTCAGTAACTGTAGCATCAGTCTGTCTGCTTTCTTTCCATGTGTAAGCATTTAGAGCTTAGAACATTGATAAGAGCATTGCAAGAGTGTGGGAAGGGTTTTTAAAGCCTTTATATATATATAATATTAAAATAAATATAGTGTTCCTACTTTGTGAATTGTCGCCTATCGTGAGGGTGTCTGGAACGTAACCCTGGGATAAGTGAGGGACTACTGTAAACAGTTATTAAAACTATGTTACTTAATAACATTTACAGAAAATACCTAATAGCTGAATCAGTCCGCTTACCAGCAACAGTTTAGAATTGAAAAATAACTAGAATATACGCAAGACTTGCTACATTTATGTAGTGTTTTAAACATTTTTGTGATGAAAAAAGTACAAATATATATAAAAAAATACTCGTTATTCATAACAGAATTGGAAACCATTTTAATAAAATTTGAATTTAAAACTCCTTTTTAAACTATCTTTATTAAGAGACACACATGGAAGCATTTTACAACAAAAAAACTAAACAAACAAGTGATTAATGAATAAAATAAATGCCAAAATAATTACAGTATGCCAAAGGAAAAATGTCTCACCTGATGAAGGAAAACTGTTCTCCGTACATGCTGGGATGCAGAGCCAGACTGGGGTACTTTCCAAATGGAGGCACAATAAGACTGAACACAAGTGCGATACAAACAAACACTGCTGGCAGAACAATCTGAAAAACACAACCAGAACAATTCATTTGCTCGTATGGACACAGATCAGAACTATTACTTTACTGCAGGTCACTGTAAAGTAATTATGATTAATGCAAAATAAAAAGACAAACAATCATTGCATATAACCCTAACAGACAGAATACCTGAGCAAAGAAGCCTTTCCTGGAGCGACGAGCGTAGAGAAATCGTTTCCAGAGGAGTGCAACAAACTGCTGTCTCTTCAGACTCCAGCCTTTGACCTGGAATGAACCTTTGCCATCTGCTCCCCCGAGCCAGTCGGTTTCACGGGATTCTAGACACCAGAACAAGGAGTGAGGACATTTGTGACATAAATAGTGCTGCTTTTGTAACAGTACTAAGGGAGTGCATGTTATAACTAAAAGCCTGAAATTGCAGATTCTTGATTTGTCACAGCAGCAACAAACCAAGGAAGAGGTTAAAGTTTCTAAGTGTTTTTTTTTTTTTTAATGCAAACTGAGCTACTTATTCACACCAAAAGATCCCATGAGTGGCGACAGAAAGGTTGAGTAGTTCAGATTTACCTGGGTCCCCTTCAGAGTCATTGAAGTCAAAGTCGTCCTCGGTGAAGGGCTTCAGGCAGCTCTGGTGGTCTCCGAACGCATGACGCCGACGAATCCTGGTCGGTACAACTCCATCTGTTGCCACAAGGAAGTCGTTAATTCAAGCTATCTGAGCTTTATTTCTCTTTTTTTTTATTTGAAAACAGCATTCTCTACTGTGCCTGCCTTCAGTAATTAATAATAATAATAATAACTCAATAATGTCTGAATACATGGCAACATATAAATGTCAAGGACCAAGTTTGGGTCATTATTGCATTAAAATTATTAGAAATGTCACCTGAAAGCTCAACAGAATCCACTCCGCTGTCTTCTGCCACTTTCAAGAAAATCTACAACATAGATGTAAACAATGGTCACTGAAATCCAATGATTGTTGGCTACAGGCCAACAGACACAATAAATAAAACAGTACGTGCATATAAATTCTGCTTAGTTTGATTTATATCATGAACTGTGACTTTCGGAAGTCTTACCTCTTCTAAGGTAGTATCAGATATTCCATAACTTGAAATCCCCAAGTCTGTGAGTCTGTCATCAAGCTCATGGAAGAGCTCAACAAAAGCTCCATCTTTAGCTGAATGGTAAGGCAAGATGTACGTGAGCTCATGGCCCAGATCTTCCACTAGACGAGCCTCTGGAACATGCTTGAAGATCTCACTGGAGATGAGGGAGACATCTACAGGGAAACAAATAATAGAAAGAGTAAAACATGGATGGATACACTTATAAAGGCTCATTTGGTATAATGTTTCCTGAAAAGCAGCCATATCTGATTTTACCGATGGTGGTGGTTTCACTTTCTGGTTCACTTCCCAGACCAGCGTCTGAGCTGCTCTCTGATACACTGTCCTCCTGGATGAAAACAAGGGACTCAGTAAATCCTTTGGTGCATTTTTATGTCTTTTACATTCCTTATAAGAACCATTTAAGGAGATAAAGCACGGTATTCCTGTTGCCTTTTCTCGTACCTTTTCTATTTTCTTGCTGTAGGACACTGTACTGGCAGAGTTCCTGCAGGACTGAAGGGACAAATCGTAGTCTCTCTTGACCAGGGTCAGGTAGTAGCCAGTGCCAAGGTGGGTCTTGAGGAAGAGCGAGGATCCCAAACAGCACAGCTTGCCATGGGAAATGATGGCAATTCGGTCACCCAGGATGTCAGCTTCATCCATGTGATGAGTGGATAGGATGATAGTACGACCTAAAACATGACGTTTTCAATCATTGTAATTAATATACCATTTCTAAGAGTAAAACTCCTCAATTTAAGTTTATATCTGTAAAACATCATGTTGCCTGATCATTTCTATCATTTTTATTTACCCTGTCTGTACTTGAGAAGTAGGTCCCAGATTCCCCTGCGAGCATAGGGATCAACGCCAGCAGTGGGCTCATCCAGAATCACAACTTTGGAGCCTCCAACAAAAGCCAACGCCACCGACAACTTCCTCTGCATCCCTCCTGAAAAGAAACATACATAAAGTCAGAAAGATGATCTGCAAATCTAAAGCGATTTGTAAAAATAATAAAAAGACAAAATCAGAAAACTGACCTGACAGGGTGCTCGTGCGGGACTTTCTCTTGTGAGGCAGGCCGACATCATTGACGATTTGTTCCATTTCAGCTTTCACCTTCTCTTCAGGAAGCCCCTTTAGACAAGCGTAGAACCAAATGTGCTCCTCCACCGTCAACCTGGTTTAAAAGAAACCAACAAATCACTAAAATACCAAAACGCAAAAAAGCAACCGGTGTGCAAAAATCTCTGCAGTTCACATACATGCTGAAAAGCACATTGTGCTGGGGGCAGACTCCCAGGTTCTGTCGGATGGTGCTCAGCTCACTGCGGATGTCTTTGCCGAGGATGTAGGCAGTACCAGAAGTGGGAGGGAACAATCCTGTCAGGATTGACCTAAGAAAAACAAACAAAACAAATAAAGGTGTTTAAGTTTAGTAGTTTGCTAAAAAGAATTGAAAACCAACAGTTAACATGAACGTTATTTTACATGGTCGTGGTCTTGCCAGCTCCATTGTGGCCGAGGAAGGAGGTGATCTGTCCCTCGTAGAACTTCAGGGACAGTCCGTCTACAGCCAGCTTGTTCCCGTGGCTGTAGATCTTCACTAGATTTTCAATGTAAACACCAGGTTCAATGTGGCTCGGATCCTCTTCCATGCATACAGCTGTAGAGAAAAAGAAAAGCATTTTAATGGCAAGCAATGATTTTCTCTGTTAATCATGTTTGCAAATTTTGTTATTTTTACCATCGGCATTGCATCTCTTTGACAGAGGAGTGTTGATGTCTTTATTTTCTTTCTCTCCACACCAGTACGACCTTGTGAAAGGGAAATACCAAGGCCTTGGGATGCCGTACTGACCTGTAAAAGAACACATTGCATTTAATTAAGTTCAAAAGCTCTTGCGGCATTTATTTTCATCAGAATGTAGAAGTATAAGGTAAGAGATGTTCTGACTGTAAACCGTTTGCATAACTTACCAGGGAAGACAGCTTCGATGTACCAGGTCATTATTCCATACAACACTGCGTCAAACAGCATGAGGCAGATAGAGGTGGTCAGGTTGTAGCTGTCCTCCTTCATTGGGCTCACAAGCAAGTTGGACCACTGGATTCCTACTCCTTGCTCCTCAAACAGGGCAAAGTACTCACATCCAAAGCCAAAGGCCACAGGAGAAAGTAAACTCTGAGAAAAGAACAGATTATTTATAGTTTAGTGTAAGACAAGAGAATGGAAGTGATCTTTTCAAGTGTCTATAATGAGACACTCACCACAACAATTTTAGCTCCAAAGCCCACGTAGTCTTGCCAGGCAACACAAAGAACATATGGCAGATACAGAGTGAAGTATATGATGCCCCCACAGGCTGCGGCCAGGTTGGCACGTGAAAATAAGGTGCTGATAAGAAAACACTGCATTATGGTGACGACGCCAAAGGATCCCAGGAAAAGAAACACAACGCCGCAGTCACTGTATGGCAGCAGGTTTCCCATCTGAGAGGAAGCAAAAAACCAACAAAATTATTTTGTTTTTCTACAAGCCAATTAAAATTCATAGGAAAACAGCCGCCATTAGATTAAAAATAAATACCAATAGTCATTCTGAATAAGTTGGTTTGTTCTTTAAAATGAGCTATTTCAACATGATGATGAAGAGGGTAAGAACACATGTATGCGTGCGTGTGTGTGTGCCAACACTAACCTTCAGTAACATCACCAACAAGCCTGCGCTGATAAGCAGAGGGATCAAACTGCTGATGAACCAGCTCAGCCACAGGATGCCATTGTTCAGACCCATGATCCTCATGGTCTCCTTCAGTCGCGCCTCCTTCTCATACACAACACCTTTGATGATAATAGCTACTGAGTACATCCATGCCAAAGTCATGAAGAGAGGCATTGACCTGCTCATCACTTGCAAGAACCTAAGAAAAAGGGCCATAGAAAGTTAGGTAGAACCTTGCTGCACTACCTGCACCATTTTTTTTTTTACACAGCATTCACTTACATATCATCAACATAACAGGGATAAGGCATCTGCTGAATGTAGATGCCTGTCCTCTCCCTGGTGCCGGTGATGGCTCGGGTGATTCCTTGTTCAATGACATCCTGCAGGTATGAAAACCCACCCCAGATGTACCGAAGGTCCTCAAAGGGGTCCGCCCTGGGACCAGGGTCCCAATATCTGCAAAGAAACATTCACATTTGATATTTTTTTTTTTTTTTCATTTAGCCTTTATTTATCCAGGTTAGTCTCATTGAGCCACGAGAACTCATTTTCAAGAGAGACCTGTTTAGGGAGCACATGGTGGGGGTTAAGGGCCTTGCTCATGGGCCCAGGGTGGGGCGAATGAGGGTGGGGGCAAGTGTGGGTGTTTCACCTACCCCACCCACAATTTTGATGTTGTCGGGCCGGGGCGTGAACCGGCGATCTTCGGATCACAAGCCCACCTCTCTAACCTCTGCGCCACCACTCCCCCAAATATACATGTAAAATATAAAACCTAGGAAATCAACCAAGTATGTGTGTGTGTGTGTGGGGTTATGCCATCCACTTACCCATCTTTGATCTTGTTAGTCCTCTCCACATTATCGATGTCCATACGAATTTTGTAGTTGACATTGGGAGGAAGGTCTGTGCTGTTGTTACGAGCAATGTCAGGGAACACAATCCCAGCCCAGAACTTTTGGTTATTCAGGAGACCCATGGACTTGTTGACCAGGCGTTCCTCGTTAGCAACCGCCTCCAACTTATCCAGGTTCACACACTGAAGGCAGATGACGGATATGTTAGTTTTTTTTTTAATTTGACCTTAAAGGAAGAGGTTTTGCAATAGTAATTGTTGACAAAAAGCCAGATTAGTAAACTTTTAAGTGAAACAAAAAATATACTCCAGAAAGAGTTGAAGGTTTGACAACCTGCAAGATAAAATAATAAAAATCCCTTAAAAAACGGAATGAGTTTATCCTCAACAAGTCATCCTGCTCAATAGAAGATTGTTTTTCACAACTATTATTTAGAAATTGAAAACATCTATGACCTTTTACCCTTTTCAACAAACTTGTGTGCTTTGGGTGGACACTGAGTTGCTAACCAGGCTGGAATTGTTTATCGGTTTTATTGAGACCTCCTACAGTTTTGACTCTCGTTTAGTTGATATAAGCCAAAAAAGCTCCCTCATTCCAAGAACGTGATTTGCCAATAAGTTCAGAAGACATAAAGTGATTGAATGCAGCATAAACACCACAAGGCCTTCACATGGTTTATAGTGTGTGAAGCATCAGTTTATAAACTTTATATGATCTCCTTGTCAAGTTAAACATAGCCAGTGGGTTGTTCACAGTGCTGCTAAAAATTGGTTAAGGAAGTTTCAGTGTTTTAATGTTTGCGTGAGAAAGATAAATGACTGATTTCAACTGTTTTGCATTATACACTGTGGTGAAAGGATAAAAAAAAGAAGAAAGTGAAACACATCTAATTTTAAGGTGGGATTTGGAGCAATGCAATACAACTGGCTGGAAAATGTGTAGAAATATTATTAAGCAATGATGCAAAGCATTTAAGAGAGAGTGAGTCGTGACAATAAAATTACATGCTCTATTTTTTATTTACTGAAAGAACCATTGTAATGTGGCTTTTCCTGTACGTGTGTAACACACTGACCTCCATAAATTGTGAAATGGTCCGTATGGCCCGGTCGGTCTCGTTGAAGACATCTCTCCAGGTGTACGCTGAACCTGCAGGCCTGCGGAACTCCGATGCTTTGGATAGAAAATTTGTCACGTCCGACACGCTCCACTCAGTCCCACTGAGCTGGGCGTTCAGGAAAGCTGCACTGACGTTGCTTTGGAGCAGGGACTAAAAAAAAAAAAAAAAAACTGTTTTAAAATTATTTTCTTATTTAAAACAAAGTTTCATATAAAAACATTCAAGTAGCTCCGACTTAAAATTTCAACTTTGAATGTGATAATATCCATTACTATAATACAGTATAAAATTAGGCTGCATGCTGCATGTTTTTTTATCATTGTATTTGCACATATTATAGTATATTATATATTTACTACATATACTATTCAGTGGTTCCCAACCCTGGTCCCTGAGGAACACCATCCTGCATGTTTTTGTTCCTCTGCTCCAACCCACCTGATTTTAATGAAAGGGTGATTAACAGGCTTCTGCCGAACTTAAGGAAGTAATTAAATCACTGAATAAGGTGTGTTGGAGCGGAGAAACAAATAAAACATGCAGGATGGTGTTCCTCACGGACCAGAGTTGGGAACCCCTGTATAGTATATGTTGTATATATATAAAATATACTATAATATATGCAAATACAATGATAAAAAACATGAAAGCATGCGGCCTGATTTTACAGTGGTTTGTAATTCTGATTGCAAGCCTCTTCTGAAATTCCTCATCTCTCTTGCAGTTTTCCTGGTTTTAGACAAACTTCTTTTGTAACAGATACAAGCTAAAACTGCCAAAACACTCAAGTGCAAAACTTTGGACAACTTATTGTGTGAATGCCTTTATAGGCATTCACACTATAGTGATTGTGTTTATATTTAATTTCTGTTTGCAATAGTTTTACTGGGACACTTTCCACCACTAGGTGGAGCTTTTGCAATTTACAAGGAAAAAAAAAAGAGAGAAGTTGTGGTCAAAACCAAAAAATTAACATCAGCCATGATAAGCTACAGGCCTGCTCAAATATCCACTGTGTACTCTGCTTTATGTAATATACTAAACAAGTCCAGGCCTTGTTTAGATATTTAGCTGCATTATAAAAGTTAGCTGGTGAATACTTAATGATTTTAACAGGCCAAGTTTATGGACTGACATAAAGTTGCTTCCTGTGCCTTTATTTCTGCAACTTTTTAGTTACTTCAATCTGCTGGAGAACAACCCAAGGAAATTAACTTTTCTTTCTGAAAATAAGGATTACATTAAATATATAATTATACAAAAACTACACAGATGCCCTCACGCAAACCTCCCATGTAAACAGGAAGTGTGGCACGAACACTGTTGTGGAGGCAGAAATTATGTCAGTGCATCTTCTTACCCTGACCAAGTCCATTTCTTCACTATTCTCCATGAAATTCCAGAATTTGGGCCTCATTTCCTCCCACATACCACCAAGGTCTCTCAGGACACCCAGCTCCTGGAAGGTCTTATTAACCTAGAAATCACATAAATGTGTTTTAACTTTATTGCTTCAAATGAGATTTTTTTCCCCCCTGTAACCGTTTTTAGCTGTGATGGGTCACAAATACCTCATGGATGATCCTCTGTGTTGCTGGAGTATCTGGGGTGTACAGGATCTTCCCCATGAGAAGAGGTTTAAGAGCTCGCCAGATCATCCTGGAAATGGGGCTGGACTCCAGGCCTTTCATCAAGTTGTTACAATAAGGAGCTATAAAATACAAAATTATGTTGCGTGTTTCTTTCTACAATGATTAAAAGGCAACAAATGTTGAGCTTTGGATGCTTACTGGAAGAGTTGTCATAAGTAGAGACTGGTTCACTGTCACTGTCATTGCCATGGTGTCCAAACAGCGCCTTGTAGTTGTTGTCTTCATACCAGTTGAGAGACTTGATCTTGAGGCCACCTCCCTCTGGATGCCCGCAGACGATACGTGACACGGCCTCGTACATCTGCTTTGGAGACCCCGTTGTGTTCGCAGTCAGATACAGGATCTCCTTCCGCATATCTTTCCAACTTTTCATGCTGGAAAGCTGTTGAGAGAGAGACAAATTAAAAAAAAAAAGTTATTTTTGACTTTGGTTTAAGCGTTTATTTAAAGTAGTGTGTGTAGCTAGACTTTTTCTTGAAAGAAAAATGTCTGAGGTAGAATATATGTCCACATCCACTATCATTTGTCACAACAAATCTGAAGCAGACATCATCGGCACCTTGAGTGGTTTGCTAAACACGACAAGTCAAGCTCTGCTCTGTGGGGTGGAGACACTTAGCACTTGACTGTCTGCCTGACTAAGATACCGTAAATTTACCCACTAGTCCCAGTCCTGTGCGTGTGTGAGGGGGTCTGCATCATTATCAAGGGGCTGAGTCAGATAACACGTAACACAAAAAATACGTATGCAACTTCACAGCACGTTGCACGATTGCAAATGGACTTCCCAGGACTTGTAGTTAACTGCTTTGTTTTTATTCACTCTGAAAATATTCAGAATAATGCATGAAATGATTCTTTGTTTTCCATTTAAAGGAATTTTAGGAGTTAGAATAAAACCCAGCACAACTCTTATCTTTGTTTGGGGACTTATAAATTAATGCCCACTCAGATTTTATGCTTGAATAGCTTTCTTTGTTGAACTTTTGTCTGCCACCATTACAAAACAATATGACTTTTTGTCTTGTTGCTATTGCCTAAAGAAGAACTGGATGTAATATAATATCCAGTTAGCAGTCATATGCATTGTTACATCATTTAGCAGGGAGAGAAGTTTGGTTCATGACAAGGTTACTGTAGGTCAAGAGACAAGTCAGCACAAGTTCCCTAATAATGTCTCCAAACTGGTCAACATGTAATTATGACACCAATTCGTGTCAGGAAAGGAATGAAAGGAGGGGTTTGTGTGTCTGTGCAAGTAAAACAAAGGAAGGATGACACAAGAGGGGATTCTCTGATACTGACACGTGAAGGAAAGGGCAGCAATTAGGCTTACAGTAAGTATGGACCACGTAGGAGACAAATGGAAGCTGAGAAAGTCAAACATTTTCCTGTCAGGATTTGTTGATTATGTGAAAAGAGAGAGCTATACGAGCAACTGCGGGAAATGGTGAGTGGGAGATGAGACTTGAAAACAAAGGAAGATTTGAGAACAAAGAAAGGTTACTATCGGTCATTCTCCTAGTAAGTAAACCACTGCAGGCTCCACAAGTGGAGCGTCATTGTCCTGACATTTCTCAGTGCGCACACACTCAGCGACATAAAACACACACAAAACACTTACGGGCAGGATGATACCTAAACATACTGCTGATCACGGCTGTTTCATAACAGGTCACGCTGTTTTCTTTTTAGCCTTTTGTGTAGCTTCAAAGCTAAAGCTGTCCATTTTACAGAGTCCAGTTTTTATTTGGTCCTATTAACGTCAACACTCATTTCAAACAAAGAAAGTGAGACTAAAAGTCTGGATCGAGGAACATTGTAAACAGTTACCTTGCAGCTGAGCCTTCAGCTACAGTGGTGTCACTTTGCTTCCTGTACTTTCATGTGCACAGATCTGAGCGAGATACTGAAACTCGTGTGCGTGTGTGTGTTTACAATAAAAGTGTTCTGTATTTGGTTTATGTGACTGACAGTGTAACGAAAAGGCCCCAAGCTGTGCTGATGTATGTGTAAATACAGTGTTTCTTATCTTCAGAGGAAACTTTATTATCCTGACAATTTATTGGTGTTAAATGCTCAAACGTACAGAGAGCCCTGTTTTAACTACTGTTGATGAAAACACTATGTGTGTACAAGTGTTTCCACTTGTCAAAATACTCTTTGTAGGTCTGAGCGAAGAAGTATGAGTCTGAGGGAATGATTCATTCCCTCATGAGCTAATGCCTCAGTAAAACTGGTAATGTGACTGGGTGAATAAAACATAATTGCGTGCTTGTAGATGCACGGACTCACGCACCTGCTCCCACACATTTAGAATATTCCAGGGACACGGATAGGCAAGCAGAGGAACAGGATTGTCCTCTAGTAACCTCACACAGGCTTGGCTGCGAGGTTACTATAGTTCAAACCTCTGATCAAACCCTCAGCTATTTAGATCAAAGGAGCTCAGGAGCTGATCATACACTTCTTATTGTGAACATATAAGAATATATACTGTACATGTCTTCTACATTAATGGAAATTTATTTAAAAAGTATATACCACATGTTGCTCAGAGCAGGAGACAAAAGCCTTCATGAGCATCAGAAATGTTAAGGAGAATGTACCGTATTTTCTGCCGTACACGTCGCACCGCCCTGTAAGTTACATCAGTCCAAATATGTCTAATAAAGTGGAAAATCCATAAATATGTTGCTTGCCATATAAGTCACATCTATTATGTGTCACTGCTGATGCGTCGCGTTTGTTACGCGTCACCGCTGACAACCTGGAAATATGGGTCAAAAATCGATTGGCTGCCAAATGGCGGCTGCGGGAGCGTGCACGGGAGGACTTTAACAAGATTAACACTTAAAGACAATTATTTGTTTGCTCAAAATTATAGCTAAGTTGTGTCTCAGTTTAACTTTTCCTTAATAAATGCACTTTGACAGTCAACAGTTGCATTTCAAAAGCAGATACGCGGAAGTAGAAGCGTGCACGTGAGGACTCGCTGTGCATTTCTTTGAAATTTAACAATATAACCACGTAAAAACAATTATTTATTTGCTTGGTTTTATAGCAAAGGTGTGTCTCAGTTGAACTTTTACTTAATAAATGCACCTCAATGGTCAAATTAACTGCATTTCTTTGGGGCGGCGCAGCAAAAACGAAGCTGATTTGCCGGTTGCTCCAGGTGAGCTGGCAGTCTGTGGCAAGCCGACTGTGTCATTAATAGCCACTTTTACCTATTACATGATACAATGGCATGCCATACTACTCGACTGCCATCTAGTGGCTGAAAATGGTAGTGTTCAATATTTTCAGTCAGAATTAATGAAAACGGTCATATCTCAGCCAAAAATCGGTTTATAAATATGGAGAAAAATCCATAAATAAGTCACTTTGGCGTATAAGTTGCAGGGCATGCAAATTATGCAAAAAAACACGACTTATAGGGCGAAAAATACGGTATTGAGAATTTCTGTAATTGGGGTTCTTTCTAATCCACAGTAAGAAATTTTCATTTGGCGATGCACTCACTGAGTTAAAAACATGGAAAAGTGGGTGCAGGGACCTTACAGGAAGTATCTTACTGGGATGTGACCAATTAGCAAATGTCATTAATGAGGGAATTCCTCGAATGTCTCCAAAATATCTTGAGACTTTTGCGTAGATCTTAAATTTCTCATATGAGTCGCAGGCACTCAGTCCCATTGCTTGAGTTCCCAAGATGTGTGCACTAAATTTTTCTTTTAAATAGTCAGTCTTTACAGGCATCTCCAATTTTGACATCTACACTGACATAACATCTAAGGCAAATGTGCACGTCTCAAAATGATGCAGGTAATAAAAAATTATTACTGAAAAACTGCCCAAATCTGTTTATCTTCATTTCAAATGTAGACTCAAGCAGATTTGATGTTGTTCATGAGGTGGCTGCCAAGGTGGGTATGATTTTAGCAGAGTGGACAACAAAATAATGTTTCACGACCAAGAATGCAGTTTTGCCAGCTACTCACTATTTTTGAACTAATACACATCAAATATTAAAATAAAAACAATTTAGATGTGCAAGAATGACCCAAACATACATTAAATGTTTCCATTTATTATGTTCTTCACGTTTGGTAATGCTTGACCTCTCACACACATCGCCGGTATGTGAAGGAAAAACATGAAGCTCGGAGTTGCAACATTTCTGGTTGGGAAAATAATAAAAAACTGTTTAGGTCAGGTTTTATATCTGCTTAGACGGGAAACTCAAACACGCATACACATACACGCATGCACGCACATGCACACTTTTTTTTGTTTTGCCACATCAGCAGAACTTGAGCCTGAGAGAAAGGGAGTTGTGTTGTGTTTTGCGATTATGCACAACCTAACACTGCTTCTTTCCTTTCTCAGTGCATTCCAACAGCTCCGACTGTTACATTAGCTTAGGTCAGCCATGTGTGTGTGTGCATGTGATAGCATGCTGTTTGTGTAAAACAAAGAGGACAGTACACCTGGTGGATCACTGAGTCAGGGCTTTTTGCAAACGGCTACACGAGCATTCTACCCAAAATGCCAACCTTTAATTAAGGTTGGCAAAACATTAATCTACAACTAAATATATATCATTTTAAACAAAACAGGTATTTTCTCCATAGTAAAAAAGCACGCCCAATGACAAAAAAGGTCACATGGTGCAAAATAAAGATTGAAGGCTTTCATTAAAAGGGCTGAATGTTAAAAGATTTTATAGAAACCTACGACCTGTCCTGAGAGCAAACCTTTGGATCACCAAAACTTTCTACTTTTTAAAATCCAACAAATGTCACAAATCAGTTTTTACAACTGTATACAGTACATTTATGCGGTAATCTGGTAAATATCGCTTTGTCCTGTTTAGAGGCATCTCTACATGTTCTTATGTACTTGATGAATGAGTGTGAGCTATTTACCTCCACAGCCAACGCTCCAAGGCTCTCCAGAAGGTTGCCGGTTGCAGCAGAGACTTCCTGAACAACTTTGGGATCTGACCTCACATCTCTCTGTCAAATGAAATGGTTCCATTAATACAACACAGAGTATTTTCAGAAAAGAAAACGTAAAGATATTTATTTTAGTGTTTACTTTCTGGTAGCCCAGGGTGTGTTTGTGGGTGTCTGAGTGTTTTCATGCCTGACATAAGATCTAGCAAAGGTGTCACTGAAAAGCAAGCAGCCCTCTGGGAAATAAGAAATACTTTAATAACTTCTGTCTCTTGACTCTTCTATGCTCACTTTTTTCTTGTCCAAATATTTGATCACTCTCCCCCTGTTCTACATGTTGAGAAGGATGAGAGTTGTGCAACAGTTCCTGGTCTCACGATTTATGCTATTTTGTCAACGATGAAAAAATGTCCACTATTGCATTATGTTTTTGCAACATTTGGACTCATTTTAGGGATAATGTGTATTTTAGGTGAATCCCCAACAGAGCCAGAGCTTATTCTCAGTTCTGTAAAATGATCAAAAAAAGACATTATTTTCTGTGAGGTAGCGAAAAAACTAAACAAACAAAATACGTAAAACAAATATAATATAGAGTAATTTTCTCCCAATCTTCAAACGTTCAGAACATTTTGTTCACCTCTAGCCTTCTTTCCCTGTCCTGTCTCACATCTAGGTCAGAGGGTTCTGGGAAGTGGGAGGGCTGTCTGGGAGCATGCATGCACAGGAGAGGCAATGCTAATTATAGATGAAAGAAAAGCTGATAAGGAAACACGTGCAAGAAAATAAGCAATAACATAATGCGTCGTTGAGAGAGAAGAAACAAAAAGAATGGATTTACTTTAAATCAACAACTTTAGGTCGATTTTTCTAAATGATATTCTGCCGATGAGACAAAAAAAAATGACTGTCTTTCATCGCAAACTGACAGTATCACAGCTAATGGCTCATTTATTTTTGGAAAAAAAATGGGAAGTTATAATAGCAAAGTCAAAAATCTGACAGATTGTATGTAACACTACAACTCAGACTCACCTGAATTGGTTTTAGGAAGTCCAAATTGGAGAGAAAGTGGATTTGAGCTTTGTTCAGCCAGTCAATGGACGACTTGCAAATGATTTCTTGGGTTAAACGGGACACATTGTGGTCAGCGATGTGGACAAACTCTTCCAGGGGGGTCACGTTGCAAAGGTCTTTAAGATGAAATCCAAAACCTTTGGTGAGCACCTAAATAAAAAAAGATACAATAAATAAATATTTAGAATTTTATAAAATGCACACTTGTGCTGTTTTGATTTTAAAAAGTCATGCTACCACACTGTTGTAATTGCAGAACATTCTGCAACTAGAAAGTTCCTGGAGAAACTATTGACGGGGACTGCCACATGGCGGCCATTTAAAATTTTTGATTTTAACAGTATTATGTGTTGGGGTTCGCGCTCAGCTACCATCATATTAAATTTCAACTTAAAATGGCAAAAAAAAATTAATTGATTTATAGTCAATATTTTTCTTTTAAGCTTTGGTGGCCATCTTGAATGTTTTTTAAATTCATTATTTATTGGGCATTGCTCTCAGCTACCAACACACCAAATTCCAGCTTAATCTCTCTAAAAATCGCTGATTTACAGTATTTTTCCTTTTTAGCTCAGACGGCCATCTTGGATATTTGATTTGCAACTAGAGTCTATGAAAAATGACTGATAAAAATGGCATTTTTGTTTGCAAATTACGTCGCCGTGGGAACTTGAAGCGCCAATAAAAGTAATAGCACACATCATGGTGCCGAGCTGGTCGTTTTGATATTACATTTGTGGGGGTACACTTTGCGGTTCGGGCTGCATTAAAGTTAATGGAAGAGTAAGATATAAAGTTAAGAAACCCGAAGTCAGGTGGATAATAACATGTGGCTGCCTAACTAAGCAGTCCCCAACTAGAATAAATAAATAAATGGTTTTATGTTTCAGATATAGCGTTATAATTAGTTTGACTAATGGTGCCTACATAAAAACACAAAACATACCTCCCTTAAAATTTGTTCTTGGCTCACTTAAAAAACTGTTAAGCTTCAGCCAAAAACCAAAAATTCCTTACATGAGAATGAGAGAAGAAAAAAATGCAATGATATCAGAGAACAACAGTGAAGTAAGAAAAGTCAATACTGTGATGTGTCTTTGGCATATTAAAAAGCCTGTTTGGACAATGTTCTCAAACTTCTAAGAAAATGGTAATAAATGACAAACTACTGTACATGACTCATGATCTGAGATGCAATACTGGACGCAAGAAGTGCAGCTGCACCTAAAGAGACAACAAGATGTTCTTTTCTGAAACGTGAGTGAGAGAGTTCAAGGACTGGACAGAGGCTCCTTTTCCCTGTGACGGAGTCTAGACGTTTGCCAGAAATAGGCTTTCACTCACTCGTCTCTAAATGTTTCAAAATGTCCTTGACCATTCTATGGTATGCCGTCATGTCTATTAGACAACATAATGCACACACTCGCAAACACATACATCTGATAATCTTTTCACTAGAAAAACACCAGGGCTTACAGTCAGCTTGGAGGATTAGGACTCATACTAATCATCAGATGGAAAATTCAAACACGTTTCTCTTTCAGAGGTTTTTCTAATGTAATGCCAGTGTTGTGTTTGCTACAACATAAAGCAACATCGCTTTTATGTTTCTACAGCAATAAGTGTATCAATGATTGGATGATAGCTTTTGCTCCTCTGTTTAAATGATGCGTCTGAATGTATGGTTTGTATTCAATCGATGTCTGGGTGAAGAGAGTGAGTCGGACGCTGTAATGTGTTTTTGACTTCGAGCTTCTGCCTCGGCACGTGAGGGGAATCGTGGGGGAGGGGTGTAGAAGATAAGTCATGTGATTCCAGCATCAGACAGCGATGCAGGGATGACGCGACTATCTGGGGTTGGAAGTTGTTGCTGAAGTAGAACAAGGAAACAGACTCGGTTCATGTATTCAATATGAGTTATGTAGATATACCTGATTTGAATGGAATAAGACAGGTCGTGTGTGTTTTGTATCCTTTTAAGTAGTAACGTGCAGGGAGCTGCTGGGAAACAGATTACCTTGTCAGCTGAGGGAAACTGATACACTGGAATAGAAGGATGAAATTAGCCAAGTTGAAAGCAAAATAGAAAACTCTTATCCACCAAAAAAAAAATACAGAAAACCAGATGAGAGGTGTTATTGCCTAGATACACCCACCCCTCCACTCACTGAGATTGTTCTCTTTAATAAAGGCTTAACTGTACTTTTGCTGAATCCTGTGGTCCAGCTGACTAAAGCAAAGGTCATTAGATTCATGCGCAGGCGCTGCGGTCAGGGAAGTCAAGTTATCTCGTGAGTGATGAAGGGGAATTTTTTGTTGTTCATTTCTCACCTTCTCCAAGTTGACTTCAGCCTCTAGGATTTGTCTCAGGGCGTGGCGAGGAAGTGATGCATTGTGGTGTAGAAATTCAGAAAGGGTCTCATTGTCTCTCAAAAAGTCCTTCAGCTTAAAGCCTGGAAATATACATAAACCCCTTCAGTTAATAAATTATTATACTCACCTTAAAAAAGACAGTTAATGTGTAGCAAATGTAAGCTTGCTTTAAGATAAACTCAATTAAACAATCAAACTTAAAATGATACATACAATTCAACTAATTCTAATGTTCTCACATACAGCTCAGTGGTCCTGTTTATTTTCAGGCTGCACCATATTCAAAGTAATACATCAGTAATTAATAACATAATAGCCCCAAACCATCAGATCTGACTGGGTCATGCTTGGTTTTATGACCATCTCACATTGGGTTGACTTAAAAAAAGTAATCAGTTATAGATGGATATTTTGAGTTTCAATAAAATCTATGACATTTATCAATGTTTTGCTAACAGACAGGTAAATAAACTGCATGCGTACACACACACACAGGCAATGATTACCACGAGAGGTGGGCGATATTGACCAATTTCAAGCCACATCAAAATTTTGAATACTGTTTACAGACAATCCGTCTTCTCTGCACTCCGAAGGCTCATTTGCACTTTCAGCAACTGGCTCCGTTCAGCGGCGCCGTTTTAGACTCTTGTGCACACGCACACTCAAAGACACACAGTTCCCACTTCTCAACTCTTCGTTTTACGGTCAGCAGAGGTTACTATAGGACAATAAACTTTGGTCCAAATACTCCCAACCCAAACTTCCTTCCTCCTTAAAATTTTTCCTCGGCCTGAGGCATACTTTTCTCACCCCATTTGCTGGCTGCAGAGATCTAAAGGTTGTATTTTAAGTTAGCAAAGCTTGATGCCAAGTGATCTTACTCCCCCAGATTATACACACATTCCTTCACTGCCTTTTAATCATAAACATCAATCATCCTTTACAAAGGATACATGATTACTCGTATCTCCTCCATCATATTCTGCTTCACTTTGTTGGTTTCTCAAATACATCACTTAGATTATCTGCTGCTAATTCTCTATCATCACATACTTTTTGACATGGTTGTTTTAACCATCGTATGACATTGCACACACAGGAAACACTTTGCCTGAAGTGAACACTCCTTGGGAGGAAGTGAAAGAGAACAGCGTGTTCCTTTCCTGTCTGTTTGGAGACACGTTTTGCCCCCCCTTTCTACCCCGCATAGCTCTGCACAAGAGTGTGTGAGCCTTTAGCTCATTTTGAGATGAGATGGTGCATCAAACATAATCTGTTTTCATTCTTCTCTCTCTCTTATGTACCTGTGCAGCCTCTGCCAGCTGTCTCTGAGTGTTTATGGTTTTAATTCTCAATGGTTACCAACCAGGGAGTCCTAATAGGGTCTAATCAGTGTCCCTGTAGGAAGTCACATCTCCCACTGAACTACAAACAAGGGTCCCTGAGGTTCTACAAGTCTCTATGGAGCAACATTGAATTTAAAAGATTAAACTGTAATTTGATAAGCTTTATCTAGGTGTTATTATCAGTATGTGGTCAACGTTAAATTCTTAGAAACAAACTAATTTCAGAAGACAACATACATGTCTATGCATGCTCCCCGTGCTGCTCATCTTCTTCAATATTCAAACAAAATGACATCACACACCTTGAAAACCCGTGTTATCACTCGTCAGACTTGTCTTTGAGAATACATGATCTCAAATTAGTCCCAACCGTAACAACTCAAGACGCTTAAACCAACAACAAAACAAAGAAAGCAAACTGCAATTTATAAAAATTCATCAACTCACATAATGGGTTCAATAAATAAGATGTTGAACTTTATTAGGAAATTCTGTTTTAGTTTATTAAAACCAAAGTTTTAATAAATAGTGCACATACAGGACCACCACTAAGTATAACAACATGAAAGTAGACTTTTAGATGTGCATATATTTTGCAAATACTCATATCAGTTCCTCAAATATTCACATATCTACTAAATTCCTGAGTTTCATATATTCACTGTCATGTTTTTGTCAAATGCTAAATGCTGTTCTACATATCAGAGATCCATTACACCCGATAAATAAAATTAAATCCACGGAAATATTCCAAAACATAAGAGTTAAAGGGTTTTCTAGCACAGTAATACTTCATAAGCCCCTTTTCATGTTAGCCTAAATCTAAATTGCTGACTCGATCTATTACTGAATTATTAACCAACATGTGAGCAGCTCCACTTTCTGCACTTTAATCCTGGCTTTTTTTTTTTTTTTGGTAAGTCTTTATCTTGCAGCAGCAGCAGATCTGTTTGCTCAACGTTGCATCATATATGATACCCTATTACTGTATATCAGAGCATTCCCTCTTGTGGATTAAATATATAGAAAGGCTAATGAGACTGAGTACTATTAAACTGTCAATTTAGAAAAAAAAAATTGTGATAACACGTACAGATGCACAAAAGTTGCTTTACACCAAATATACGTGGCCCAGCTTGAGGTTTTCTGTGGCCACCAATGGTTTTGTGCAAACATGTATTTTTCATACAACCTTAAGATGAACATAATATTTCATGTGTGGAGGTACACAGAAACATACACTTAATTCTGTCTATTATTTTAAAATACACTTAATAAATAATATACAAAAGAGAATTCTCTTAAAAAAAAACAACTAAACTGTGGGCAACAGTAAGCTGGTTGTAGCAGTCGCTGCCACGTCTTCCAATTTCCTGCTGTGTAATTAATTATGTACAGTGATGGACAATTTTTTTCAAGTGGCTAAAAATCAACCGACCAATCGGTCTACTTCTAGAACAAAAAAAAACAAAACAAAAAAAAAAAACCCCAGACAGAATAAAACAATTACTGCTCAGTTCATTCTAATGAAATTTCCCCTGAAGACTGTAGATGAGATGAAGATGAACTACTACTGGAATCCAGTTAACTGGAAAAAGACAAAGAGAATATCCCACAACATAAAACAGAAAATAAAAGACTTAAAAGTTCCTGGAGAAACTTATATAGGGACTGCAGCATGGCGGCCATTTTAGAGTTCTGTCAGGCGTCTTGAATGAAATAAATGGCATCTTTGTGAACTGTCGCCATGATAACTTGAAACGACAATAAAAGTAATAGCACACATCACGGGGCCGATCCGGTCGTTTTCATATAAAATTTGCGGGGGTACACATTGCGGTTCAGTCCACATTAAAGTAGACGGAAAAATAAGATATAAAGTGGATAATGATAGGAAGAACAAATTTTGCTGCTTTTATCCATTAAGGTACAGTGTATGTGCAAATCTTGTTTGGCTTTAAGGAGCTCATTACACAACAGAATGAACGAACTCTGGACGAACTGAACAGACAATAAAGAAGAACTTTGTTGTGCTTTGTTGCATAACTACAAATAGAGGCCCTATTATACTCAATGTACAATTATAACTGTATCAAAAAATAGCTAATGCTCTCCTATTATGAGAAACTAAAAGGAAAGCTAATGGAACAAACAAAAAAACAGGTGGCTTAATTAGACTCATTTCTTTTTAGCAGCCTTTGAGCGTTAAAGATAAATATAATGGAGTTAAAACAAACTGTAAAAATGGTGGAGAGCATTTCAGAACAAACTCAAACAGTATCAATCATTAGAAGTACAATTCTTTTAATAGTTCCATTATGTTTATCTTTTGTACTGGTTGTCTTTTTTCTGGTTAGACCAAAATGACTCATTACTTTTATCACCTCAGTAAATGACAGAAGCTGAACACATTGCATTTGTGTTAGCTTAGACACAGAGCTCCACACAGCTCCCTTTCCTAATTTATTTATTTAATCAGAATGACGTCATTGACAAGAAGTTCATTTGGAAAAACAAGATTTTGGTGCTATACAGAAACCTTAATCACGATCACAAATCTAAAACCGCCTTTTGAATGTTGCTATAAAAACTACAACAAACTCTCTGGGATGAGGACAGGAAGCAGCAAAACTCCAGTGACGACAAACTACACACTTTATGCTTGGATTAAACTGTGATTGTCAGGGCGGAGCACAAATTTCCCGTCTTTCATCCCCACCAGCAGCACGTACTTGTGAAGAAATGCGGCATCCGTTGTTTGCTGGGATACTGGGCCACCCTGGTTGGTAAACTGGTAGTAAAAACAACCGCCGCTGCCTTTCATGTAAAATGACTTTTTCCCTGCAATTACTAACGCTACATCTACGCTATAATAATTATTAGCTGTGCCTACTACACTGGAAATCTCATTGTGTGCTCCATTAAGTGCAGATTAGTGCATCAAATGAATGATTATTAGGAATAAGATTATTTAAGTCACAATAAGGTTATTAGTCCACACATTAAAAAGGACCCAACACGCAGAAAAGTAAAGGCATATCCTTACGAGGAGTGTTCTTCTGAAGCTTCCTGAGGGCTCTCAGCAGACCTTTGTAGCCTTCGTAGCTCTTATCATTCTGAGTGTACAGTAGCATCTTCTTGGCATCATTAATCAAACGAGAGATTCTGTTGATAATGGAAAAATGAAAGACGAAAGACAAAAATCATAATCAGACGTAATGTTTACAACGCTTGAAGAGACAGGAAGATATCTGATTTGTATATGCACATGCTCCTGTTAATGTCCAAAATATATTGTTGATAAGGAATTATCAAGACTGCTCAGGGCACTCATTAAACAGATTTTGAATGTCAGAAAGTTTTCACTTTCTGGATAAAGAAAAGATAAACATACAAGTAATGCAAAAGTACAAAAGTACATGAATATCACTTTAAGGATCTTACTCACATGGAGTCATTAAAATTTCCCACAATGCCCGGACTCTCTCCTGGGGTAGGATTACGAAAGCAGGGGTTGTTGGCGTTACAGATAATGCCCTGTACCCAGGGAAGTGTACCCGCTGAGGGCATTGCCTTGTTAGGGAAGTGACCTAGAGAAATAAGCAAACAATTTCCATAATGAGCTTCAAGTTAAGTTTCAGTAAAGTAAAAAAAAAAGAAGCTATTTCAAGTACTAACTAGAATAACTGGGAGTCCTTTATAACTGAGTTATTGCTCAAATGTTAGGTTTATTTAATAAAATATTAATCCACATTACTACATAAACTGTATTTATATCATTTATTGGTCGTGCTGAACCAATATTTGATCTGTTTTCTTGTTTTTACACCTCCTGTTGCATTTAATTTAGAATATTATAAATAGTTTTTGCTGTTTGCTGCTGTTAATTCAAATAAAGAGAACAGTTTTGCTACGCTCAGTCACTGACAAGGCAAAAGTTGTGAAACCAGCTGCACCGTTTAACGATTCTCTACCCGTATAGCTGAAGGTCTTATCATGAATTCATAGTGCAAACAAATATTGACAAATCCCACAAATACTTGGATGTCAATAGCAAGGACCTCAGATAAACTCACATGTCAATCTTTCCTTGAAACAAGAAGAATGTGCTTTTCCTAAAACATGACTAAGAATTATTGAAAAAAAAAAAAGATAAAAGAATTACAGAGGCTAGTAATATTGTATGGATATCGTAAAAAATATAAAATCAAGACAAAACACTAAAACCAACTGCCTTAAAAAAAGCAAGAAATTTGTAGTTTTATGGTTAAAGCTTTAGAACGGCCACACTTCATGCTTGTAAAGATTTTGTGATAAATACTGACTCACATTGATGTTGTTCGTAGGGTGGATAATGTATTCGAACCGAAATCAGGATGAAAAAGATGAACAAAGGCCAGATGATCTCAATCAGCAGCTGGATCTAAGGCAAAAAGGATAATAAAAAGGCATTTTTTTCAATATTCTTGTGCACAAAACTCATAAGTTCATTAGCCTCTACTAGTAAAAAACAATTGATGTTTCCAATATTTTAGAAATACACAAAATTATTGTTTTAGGCACAAAAAAGCAGGTAAATGTTTGCTCATCATCATGAATGTGTGTAAAGTATGGGGGTTAATAAGGCAAGACACAAAGTAAGTTAATTGAATACAGCTTTTTCCATCTGGACCATATGCCTGCAGAGCTTCAGCTGCCTGATTGAAAGAGCACAGCAGACGTGCAGCGCGGTGGATAAAGAATAAAGCTGATGTCCTTAAAAACAGACTGTATCCCTTTAATGGAAGAGACTGGGCTGAAAGTCACACAACCACAGCTGTCACTGTGAGCTCTGCCTGATGGAGAAACGGCTTAATTGTCTGCAGATGAGCCTCTCCACGTATAAAGAAGCACTGCGCTAAAGTTGTAGCTTGAATCAAATTAGCATAGCAGTGAGTGTGTGGGCATCAATTAACAGAAGATGGTAAAAATGGGTCATCTTTACAACTTTGGCTTAAAGTGTTACACATTTTAACAAAAGTGAAGAAGACTAATTCGTCAGAGCTACCCACTCGAAAGACCATTTCCTCTTTAAGTATGAGCTGCTTTTGAAAGGTAGTGTAGAGATTATTATTATTTTTTTTTTATCAAGTCACAGGAAATCAGCAGTCTTGTGAAATCATCCAAGAGGACAAACACCCCTCTTTATTTTCTGTGGCTTTATCTAAACTGGCCTGACTGTCATCATCGTTGACTCTTAATTTAAGACAGCATGGCAAAAGAAAATTAAAAGTTGAATGAAGTTACAAAGCAATTTATTAAAAAAAAAAAAAACAGCAGCGAGAAAATGATACACCATTATCAATTCACACATTTGAAGGGCCCCCTGTTATCATTGTTCCTCTAAATCAGGGACTAACCCCCCCCCAAAAAAAAAACTTACAGTCTGTCTCCGTCGGTAGGTGAAGTTCTTCCACAGCAGCAGCCCCAGCTGAGTGGAGACTGCCATGTTGCCGTCTTCCCAGCCTCACAGAGCAAACTCCAGCTCCTCACTGAAACGCCACAAAGAACAAGGTCAAAAACTGCACGACTCAAAACTGGCAGTTACCAAACCGCACTTTTTTATTGTGATACGACAGATTTTAACATCATTTTAAAAACAAAGAAGTCATATTAAGATAGTATTTCTCACGAAAGTTGACGCAAAAGATCATTTTGAAAGCAGAACAGAAATTTGTCACATCAACAAAACCCAAGGATACAAGGCAGTTTCATCCAGTTGATTCAATGTAGAGTCAAATAACTTTTTTTTTTTTATAAAACAAAATGCGGAAAAAAACACAAACTGCTGCACAACAACCAACAAACCAGGCCACTTGTAGAAGTCCTAAAATACAGCATGAGGAACAAAATACATTCAAATGCTTTGAGAAAATAACGACGCGTCACCGACTGAAACGAACAAAACATTCACCCGGTAAAAAAACAGCAAGAAGAAGCGAATGAAGTCGAGCTCTGACTGGGGAAGGCTGGCAACTCCGGCAAATTCTGGTCAACTTAGTGTAAGCTCACCAGTCCAAAGTTCAAGCCCTTCATGGGGGAGAATGAGTGGGTGGGGGGCAGTTAGTTTTCCCAGTATCACGGCAGAATTAACTCAGTAACACATTTGAATTAGGCACAATAAAACATTTTATGTAAATGTTGGAATAACTTATGGAGCAAACTCCTTACTTTCCCTTTGTTTACTCCGGATCAATCAGTTTTATCCACAAACTTTTGCTGATGTTGTGTGGCTCGCCCATGTTTTCTACCCTTTTTTGTTAATTCAATTTGTGGACAAAAGTCTTTCATGAAAGTTTTATCAAGTTGAGGACCAAGTTCTTATGCAAATTGTTCTCAGTACACAACCTAAATCTTAGTTCTTCCAACATTTTAAAACAAGCTTTAATTGTGATGATTAGTTTAAGGGTAAAACCTGATTTTTGTCCACTGAAAGAATAAAGGTCATCCTGTTTTTCATGCTGAATGTCCTTACAGAATAAAGCTGATTGGCTTTCGGGGACGGTCAAACCAGATCAGTCAAGGACAGAGTGATGTCCAAACATAATGTGCTCTACTGATTATTTAACCTGTTGCAAAACCTTCTAAATCAAGACGTTTGTAAAATCGTCTCATAAATTAATGAGAAAAACACATGTCACCATTTCTGGGTGAAGACTTGCAGTCAGATGACAGCTTCTTCTTCTTCTGTTATGAATTAATTGCAACAGAGTGGTAAGATTCACACACACACACAAAAAAAAAGAAAAAAGTTTGTGTAAATATTAAACCAGTTAGCTCTTTGCACACATTCTGGACTGTTGAAAGTTTTGCAACAAAAAAACTAACAGGAACTTTGGGCTCAAGGAACATCACAGTGACCCACCACATTATCTGCTGTCCTGATGCGTGTTTTTTTTTATCGCGTTTTTTTTTTATCGAGTCATGAAAGCCATTTCACAGAAAACATCCCACAATCTAGAAAACATCTGTTTATTTTACAAAAACAAACAAGAGCTCTAACCCCCTTTACTCAAACATTATATAACAGATGTACAGTTTTGTAGAATAACGAGGAAAAATATATTGCCATATCTTAGATCAGTGTATATGACTAAAAAAAATGAACAAAAACATGCAGTGTGCTCATTCAGATCATGTTGTTTTGATATTTTTGTGCAGCAAATGAGCCAATCTGTATCTCCCACTAATTCCAGCAATGTTTACAAGCAGTCCATTTTGAGAGCTGCTTTTCTTTTTGATGGTTTTATTGATAGAAGATGTGGCAGACATTCTAAACGTGGTTTGCATTGAAATGATTATTTTTTTGCTCAATGGGCAGCTGTTTGAATTGGTGCAGCGCTAGTGCGCCCCTAGTGGTAACACACAGGAATAAAAAATCACATTAAATCTTGTTTACCATCATTTCTTGCTCACGTGCTCAGAGGCACATTTCACCCCCCACTCAACTTCATTGTCTTCATAAAACACACGATGGTTCATTCAAAGTGACACCTTTCAACGTGAACGCAAACCTTTTTTATTTAATTAGACATAATTAAGATGAGACATTTTAGTTTTTTGTGTAAAAGCCTTTTTTAACCACAGCTAAAAAAAAAAGAGACGCGTGCATTTCGATGACGTAGCTGCATCGCAACAGCCATGTGTTAATGAAAACACCACAAACAATAAATAAATAAAAACGACTTTATTCTAGACCGTTTTTATCGAAGGGGAAAAAAAAAAGGTAAAGAAATGAAACCTAGAAGAGTTCGCTGCCTTTGAAGATAATCTTTAACAATTAGACCACATGCCATTAAAACTATCAAAAAAAAATCAACTCATGACAAATGACTTTCGTTCTAGTCTTTTCATTGTTCCGTTGAACTGGGGTTACTGTCGTTCATTCGGGTAAAGATGAACCACACAATCAAGTCAGACAAGTTGAAGCGACGTGCCACATGACCAGCCCTTCAAAATAAAACTACTAAGATCAATACTTGCCATTTGCCAAGATCATTTAACTAAAAATGATAAATTTCCACGGGACTAAGGTAGCTAGACACACATTAAAACGCAATTACAGCGCACAAATATATTTATAAATGCGTCCAACTTCACGGTAAATAAGTAGGAAGCAACATTGCAACAAGTCGACTTTTATTTTTTTAGGTGCATTAAACCGGAAGCGTTGCGTTATGCTAACTTGATGCTAGTCCCATCTAACTCCAGCCAACGATGGACAAAAAAAAAAAAAAAAAAAAACGCTTAAAGAAAATTAAAGTTCACTTGTCATTATTTGAGAAGTACTCTTTATCTATTATAATAAGTCGTTTTTTAAGTATGCGACGTCAAAATGAAGAAAAATTAACGATAATTAATTACATTTACAAAGCGCAGATTTCCAGACGAAAAAAAAAAAAAAAAAAAACGTTAGTCCCCCGCAACAATTTTTCTACAATGAAACTAATAAAGCACCATTAAACCGTAACAATAATATGTTCGTGATGCTAAACTCGCATTCTTCCCACACAAAAAAATTAACCGACCTTAATCTTGTGTGAATATTCCCTTCTTCTCCTCTCATAAACTGCAGTCTCTTGTTCCAGACGGTTGAAAAAGTGTCAATAAATTACGTTCCTCGGAGGTTGCGGTGCCTCTCCGTGCTCTGCCAGTGTCTTACCAAGAGTGTTTTTTCTTCCCCGCCAGGCTTTTATAGCTCAGCTCGATGCGGAGCAGAGAAGCAGCATAGAGAGGTAACTAACGGTCACCGTTTGTTGCTGCTCCCATATAAGGCAAGCACGTGCTGAGGCAAAACATCTCTTAAAGGGCCAGCGACACTTTCCCGCGTCACCCGTGCACCGTGCTACTTTAGCAAAGTTGTTCAAAATTGTGTTTAAAGTTCGTGTTTTTACTGTGTGAGTGTTGTTTCGGCATTCACGCCATTGTTTTCAACACCTAAATACCTCACAACACAATCTACGTTTTCAACATCTGACTAATTTAGCCTGTTTTCAAGAATTTTAACCATTCAAACATAATTCAGCCCATTCAAGAGAAAATTCGGCATGTGTAATATCCTGATGCGTGCTCAATAATCCAGGCAGTAAATATAACAACGTTAAGTCAGGTCCTCTGGATGGATCCTTTTTGCTGAAACATTTTGTCTTTCATGCAAAAGACTTGTCAGTCTGAGGAGCTGCAATAAACTCGGTCTCATAAATAACTCATTTTCATAGTGGATCAACCAGTTTGCTGGTGACAGCCAAAACTAGCTGTTCACATGATAAAGGAGGATCATCAGCCTAACAATGGATTGTTAGTGCTCTGATGGCTGTTTCCTATTCACGGGGAGCTGAGTGATGCATTAACAGCATTGTAAGAGGGGGACAGTTGAACACGGAGGCCTCCACCCCTGTTTAATGATGGACGGTTTCTTTTCACAAAGATGGCCTCCTTCACTCCTCTTTCAAACCATCATTCCTCTCTATCAAGGATGTGAACATCTTCATCCCTGAAATAGTGACTGCTGGCCTGGAGATTAAACCACACAGTCTTGGCCTGATGATGTTGCTCTTCTGTGCTGGACCATCCTTTTGGCCAGTGGCTGTTTGGTTTCCCTGATGTAAGACTGATCACCCTCCTGACACTGAACAGCATACACAACATTATTCTGTTTGTGCCGGGGGACTGGATCTTTGGGATGAACCAGTCTTTGCCGTAATGTATTTTGGGGTTTAAAAGCCACTGGGACGTTATGTTTAGAAAATAAATGTCTCAGTTTCTCTGATACTCCCTCAACATACGGAATGACCACTGGTCTGGGTCTGGGTTCCTCCTTTTCACCTGTTGGCTTACTGGAGTCCTGTTTGGGGTTTTTCTCTGCTTTCAGGAAGGCCCAGTTAGGATATCCACATTGCTCTAGTACCTGTCTTGTGTGGGATTTCTCCTTCTGCCTGGCTCCTGAGTTAGTGGGGTCGCTGTCTGCTCTGTGGTACAGAGTCCTGACGTCTCCTAACTTGTGCTCCAAAGGGTGATGGGAGTCGAACCACAAACTGGTCTGTGTGGGTGGGTTTGCGGCACACGGTTTGCATCCATCAGAAACTGAGACCTCACAGTCCAAGAAAGCCAACTTGCCATTTTTACATCTTCTCATGTGAACTTGATATATTTATCCACAGAGTTGATGTGATCAGTGAAATGTTGGACTTCCTGAAATTTAATTTTAACCCAGGTGTCATCAACATACCTGAACCAATGACTTGGTGGTGTCCCTGAAAAGGACGTCAAGGCTCTTTTTTCTACCTCCTCCACAGGTTGGCAGCAATAGGAGAAAAGAATAGCTTTGTAAGCATTATCTTTCACTTTAATCAACAGGACCTACAGTCTCCGGTCTCAAGACTTTTTAAATTTTAGTGTTCCATGTGTAGGAGCAGAAAGGCTGAAGAAAGCCTTCTGCTTTTCTGCTCCAACCTCATGGAACAATTTGCAATTGAACCTTAAACTTAGAACTCTAGTATCTCTGAATGTATTTAATTCCATGATATGTCCCATTATGTTCAAGTTGCAGAAGTGCAATTGTTTTAATTGAGTCATTTGTTGTATTGTAAGTCTATCCAACAAATTTCAGTCAAATCATCTGGACTGTTTCTTTTTTTTTTTTGTCCAGATGTCCTGACTGAAAATTGTTGGATTGTATATCTGTATTATTGAGCATAGACTTTATTGTAAGTCTATGTTTATTGTGACTATGTGTTGTAACTGAGTGTTTTTTTTTTTTTTTGCTTTACTGAGTGTTTTTTTTCTCCTTCTACAGTTTTGCCATTTTAGGTTTTAGCTATCATTTTTGTAATTTTAGATTGAGGAAATTTTAGCTTGTATCTACTATTTTATTGGTACCATTTAAAAAAATCCTTTAGCTATTGTTGTACTAGTTTTTGGTGTTAGCTATTGTTGCTACTGTTAGTTTAAGATTTTAGCTAGTCTTTTGCTATTTTTAGCCTTTGTTTAGCTAATGTGCTAGTTTTAGGTTTAAGTTATGTTGCGCTCATTTTAGCTTTTAACTACAGTTTTGGCATTTTAGGTTTTAGCTATCATTTAGTAATTTTATTTTTAGTATAGATTTTTGCTCATATCAGCTTTTAGATATTGTTATACTAGTTTTACATTTAGCTACTGTTTGCTGGAATAGGTTTTATCTATGGTATTATTGATTTCATGTTTTAGCTTTTGTTTAGGTTCTGGTTATGCTTTTTCTATTTAGCTAAGCTTAGCATTTAATTACAACATTATTATTTTAAGCTATAGGAAAAGTTTTGCTTAATTTAATTTTTAGCTATGTTTTTCTGTATTTTAGTTTCTTTTCAGCTCGTTTTAACTTAGTCAGTTTTAGCTTCTTCAGCATATTTCAGCAGTCAGTCAGCACTCTGCGTTTACACTACATTTTTGCAGCGTGAACACAGAGTGCTAAAAGGCAGGAAATTTAAATATTTCCATAACTTAGTGTAAAACTGACAGAAAATGAAATAGTTTATAAAAGAACGTAACAAGGTTAAATCAGGTCATCTGGATGGATTCTTCTTTGATTCTTCTTTGTCAGATGACCTGACTTAACCTTGTTACAGTTTTCCACCTGGATAATTGAGCATGCATCAGGACATTTATAAAATAACATTTTGTTTGCATGAACAGCTAAAAAATCTTGAGTTTGGGGTTGTTTTAAACAGTTGCCGTCATTTTGGTCTTACGCCTGCTTGGACTAGCGTCATCAGACTGATCAGAATGAAACTGCTGAGGCTGTTTTTTTTTTTTTTTAAACCATTACAACAATTTTTTTTCTAAATTAAAAACTAAAATGCAACAAACCCTTTGGTTTTTATGGCTTGTTTGCTGTCCTGCATAAGTTGTTGCCTAACCAAATGACATCAACATTTCTACTATATGGCAGTTTTACAGTGACAAATAGTTTTTTCTGCCTAACTGGACCACTCACTTCCTGTCCTCATGTAGCAACACTTGTCTTCGTCACAATGCACTTTTGTCACGAGTGGCTCTCTGGCCAGTTGTCACAGAGCAAACCTGGTGTGGAGAAGAAGAACACTGTCAGCAAAAATGCAGGAGACATTTTGGGCTCATACAAAAATGGGGCCAAGTGAGGAAAGCAGTGGACGGTTTTAGAAATGTTGAACATTAATTACATTCTTAAACAATTCAATGGGATAAGACTGGACTGAGACAAGCATTAATAGTTATGCTCAGATAAAAAAAGAAGCATATTGTTAGATATTTCTATCTAAATGTAAATAACAGAACCTCCCAACTATATTAATGTGTCAGAATCCGTTTGGGCTGAATAAAAGAAGAACAATCATCCTTCATTCATGAGCAACTTCAAATGGTTTGGACAATAAGAAAACTTGACACCTTCTTTAAAACTCCTTTCAGCGCATTGAGATCTAAGCGGTGCTGAAAGCCGAGGGACAAAATGTGGGCCAGGTCAGTGTGGGAAGGTCCGGGTCTGTTCCCCCGGTGAGGAAGTTCAACCAGCAGGGGCTTAAATTCAAAACACAATCCTCAGTCAGACAGATTAGTCAATTAATCCATCAGAGAACATCCAAATCTGCCAGCATCAACAAGAAGGATGATAATTATCCAACTTGAAAGCATTTTGTTTCTTCTTTCTTTCTCTTCAAAGAATTTGGCCTAAATGAGTCAGAGTTTAGTCTCCTCAGGTGAGCGTTGATACAGGCTCACAATCAGGAAGTACAATACGTACAGTGGCTTTTAATGTTAGGGGGAGAACATGTTTGATTTTTAACTGTTGTCTGTACTTTATATGTTGTCTGTCTAAAACAGGTCTCTCTTGTAAATGAGTTCTCGTGACTCAGTGAGAATAACCTGTATAAATAAATGTTGAATGAATGTCTTCTTGAAGAGAAGTTTTATTATTAATAAAATAACTTTGGTAAAAACGCCAATTGATAAAGGCTACAATGTTTGCTTTGATGGATGACTCTCATATAGTTTATTTTTTCACTCAAATTTAACATACCAAGATTGTAAAAAAAAAAGAGTTCTTATATTGACTACTTTTTCTTTTTCTTCTTCTTTCGGCTGCTCCCTTCTTCAGGGGTTGCCACAGTGAACTAACTCATACAAGGACTTGGCAACTGTTTTGACGCCGGATGTCCTTCCTGACGCAACCACAGACCACCGAGCTACCACAGCCCTCTGTGTGGAGCAGGAAGGTGTCATCTAGGGCACCTGGGGGAGCAGGTGGTGGGGCTAGAGCTTTGCCCAAGGGCCCAGAGTGAAGCAAATGAGGGTGGAGGCAGGTATAGGTGCTTCACCTTTCATGAGCACATTTGATGTTGTCAGTCTGGGGAGGTGAACCGGCGACCTTCCGATCACAGGCTCGCCTTCTGTAGCCTCTGCACCACAACTCCCCTATTTTTTTATGTTGACTCAATATTCTGAAATTACAATAAAAATAAGATTTTAATTTTAAAAAATGCATATAAAAAGTTAAAGTAGAATTATAAAATTAAATGACAGTAGTCCCTCGTGTATCGCAGGGGATCTGTACCCTGAAGCCCTGCGATACGTGAAAAACCGCAAAGTAGGGATAGTAGTACAAGTAGTAAGTAGTAGTTTCTTTGTGTATATATACATAAAGGTGTTTAAAGCTCTTCCCACTCTTGCAATATTCCAAAAAATGTTTCTAAACTCTAAACGCTCTAAAAGAACACAATTTTAC